TGGAAAGCTGTGGCATGCAACTCTCTTCAACCCAGGAACTCAAGCCACTAGGTGAAACAGGCTGTTAGGTAGCTTAATCCTGAGCAACACTATGGGTTCCTCCTTGCAGCCCCAGGACCCCCTGAACAGCTATAAACTCCTGCTGTAAAGCATTCTCTCCAGCCACAGGAAACTATGCAGGAGCCAGTCCCTTCTACTTGAACTGTGCACACAATTGCACATGGGGGCTGATAACACAGTTCAGAGGATAAAGGCACTTTCCACCATGTGGCTATCTGAGCTCAGTCCCTGAAACTCACATAGTAAAAGGAGAGAGCCAACTCCCATAAGTTGTCCTTTGATCTCCACATCTACAACATAGCTTACACGGGAGTGCATACACACGCGAACATATACATCACACACAATGAAGGAATGAACACATAAATGTGAATAAGAGACTGCACGTGGGAGGAAGCTTCTACCCAATGAGACACAGGTCACAAAATTAAGGCATTCTGGAGGGAAATCAGAGGTCAATAAAGCATTTATTATAACAATGTATCAAAAATGTCATTGTACTTTTGAAAGCTCTTAACTAGGCACAAGGGCAACAACAATCTGTCCTGGTCACTGCAAACAAGTACACACTTATCCCCAGGTAGGGAAGAGAAGGTTGTAGTGAGCATGTCTCCAGCACAAACACACAGACCCCAGTGCATGATACACTACACACACCCAACAGCAGCAGAAGCAGTGGAAACTATACAGGCACTGCAGGAAGAGTGAGGCTCACTAGATGTCAGAGGCAAACACTCACACTGCACGTACAAGACAGCTATGTCCATCAATGCCAATCTCAAGTCAGATTTACAGACATCCTTCCATTGCTTGGTTTATCTATGAAACAAAGAGGCTGAAGACACAGCTCAGTAGTACAGTGCTTGCCTCACATGCACAAGATCGGGGTTCGATCCACAGGACTGAAAAGAGCTCCATGAATTCCTGAGGCTCCAGAAGTCCCCATGGATCCTCCTCACTTCATCATCCTTTGTCAGGCTAGAGTGGACAGCAAATACTCCACCAACACTGTCCACTTCAAAACCTGTATGTTCCTATCTGTGAGGCTTTCTTGAATAACCATTCATCCCTAACCAGGTATGCACATGGACCTACTACTACATTGCACGCAAGGGAGTATGGGAAGGAGCGTACTGAGGTGAACGTAAACAGGGGCAGGAAAGAGCTCCCAAGTCAAGAGGCACTTCCAGGGATCACTGGGCTGATGGAAAGTCATTAGACCCTGCAGGTTAGGGCAGGTAGGGCTCAGCGCCTCCAGGGCAGGCAGTAAGGAGGCAAAGGTACCAGCAGACCACTGCTAGTGCCATCACTAGCATCCTTGGTGCCACTCGTCCCCACGGCCTGAGTGGGGAACAAGCAATTCTCATCAGAAAGGCCATACTGACTTCCTGTGGATGGCCTCATGAATTTGGGGTGGTTGAGGGCCATCAAACGCATGCCTAAACTTCTCAGGCCATGCAAAGTGATCCTAGAGATTACTCTTAGACTCTGGGCAATGGGATAGCTCCAATGCCTTTCACCGCCACAAAGGCTATGTAAGATCCAAAATTTTCTCATTCCTTTGTAACACCCACTACAGCGGACTATGCCAGCATTTTAAGCAACAAGCAAATTTGAAAAAAAAAAAAAAAAACAAAAACAAAAAACACTTCTGGGATTGCAATCAAGAGTGTTTTAAATGCAATGACAGCCTATACCATCACTTTCAAGTAGACATTCTATTATTGGTCAGGAAGGACATGACAGCAGAATAAGAAAGAGGCAATGCACTCAGCTGAGGAAATTTGGTTTCCTCGAGTACTGCATGCTGTCCTTATCCCTGGCACCTGCGCAGCTCTCTGAGAATGCTGCACTGTGGGCCACAATGATCCCATTGTGCCACCAGAGCACAAGGTCAGTCCTGCATCTCAGCGTACACCATGTAAGTGCACTTCCACTAAGAAGCAGTTCACACCTCACAGAGACGGCTCCCAAAGCACTTGCCTGAGTCAACTCTCACATCACAGGACCTCACCAGAGTCCACTGAAAGGCACAGCAGGAGGGTCCTCCAGGAACTAGCTGAGACAGGTCAGGGCAAGTCAAGGCAAATCAGGGCATGTTTTCTGCTGTTTAGGACTTATATATATTTTTTTTTCTTTCAGGAAATTTTATCTTAAAAAAAAAAAAAAAATCACTGGGGACTGAAGAGATGGCTCAGGGGTTAAGAGCACTGGCTGTTCTTCCAAAGGTCCTGAGTTCAATTCCCAGCAACCACATGGTGGCTCACAACCATCTATAATGAGATCTGGCACCCTCTTCTGGTCTGCAGGCATACATGCAGGCAGAACACTGCAAAAGGAAGGAAGGGAGGGAGGGAGGGAGGGAGGGAGGGAGGGAGGGAGGGAGAGAGAGAAAAAGAAAAAGTGTGCTTAAGAAAAAAATTCATGCATGAAGCCGGGTGGTGGTGGCACACACCTTTAGTCCCAGCACTTGAGAGGCAGAGGCAGGTGGATCTCTGTGAGTTCAAGGCCAGCCTGGTCTACAAAGCAATTTTCAGGACAGCCAGGGCTGTTAAACAGAGAAATCCTGTCTCCCCCTCACCCCAACCCCCCCCCCAAAAAAGAAACATGTACGAAAGAGCAGAGGGAAAACTTTGGAACTGATGGTCCTTAAGCCTGACAACAGAAATGGTCAACATTTGGAAACTGCTAATTATCTACTTAACAAGTATTTTTGCCTGAATCTACCTAATGTCAAAATAAAACAAAAATCTCCACCTTAAGCCCTTTTATGGAAGAATATAAACAAACAAAAAAAACAAATAGATAGGTAAATAGATAAATAAATAAAGTGATAAGCAAAACAAGTAAAATAGCTACACAACATATGACACTGGGATATTCATTGTCTCCTTCTGTGGCACTGACCACACCCATTGGGGGTGGAGCCAGGGGCGGAAGTGACCTGGGGAACTAGGTCCGAGGAGGCGAGAGGGCTCTCTTGCCAGGCACCGCACTGGGACAGGAGGAGATCCAGAGGAATTCTTGGAAGAAGGAACCTGTTGGTGTTCATCTGTCTATGATGTGAGTTATTTCTCCCTGAATAAACATCTGTTCGGCCTAATTGTTTATCCTGATCCTTATTAAACCACAGTAGGTAGGTTTCTGGAAATATGTCTAAAAGTACACTGAGAAGATAAATTCTGAGGACTCAGCACTGGCTCAACTCCAGCCTGCCTGGCCCAGACTGAAGGCACAAGCATCTTTAAATCAAGTGGCTGCCCCAGGAATAGCAACAATCACACTGACACCCCTTGGATGAGCGGGGACAGCTTCAGGCTCCTTCCCTCTGAGCCACCAGGACCAGCTCAGCCATTAGGCTGCAGTTTTATCAGGCTTACCACCCTTCCACGCTGGGGAAGACACAGGCTCAGAAGTCTGCCAAGGAAAGTGGCAGTCCTCCGCAAGGCCACATCAACTTCCCATGGTGCCGCTCATGAACCTGGGGTGCTCTCACGGCAATAGTGTGCTCTCTCCTACCCTGTACCTACCTCATCTTTGATAGCAACAAAATGCAGCACCCTTGTAGTGATACTGGAAAGGAGGGACAGCCTCCGTCAGCACCAATGCCATTTCACATTCAAGTTTGCCAGTCTCAAGTATGGAACAAGCAGCAGAACTTCACAGTGCTGAGACTGAAAACCCTAGCACAGGGGAAGCGACTCACATCCCAGTGAAGAGCTGTAGCCTGGGCCCCCTACAGAGCAGCTGTGGGAGGCTGGAGAGGAACAGGCTCTGGCCCCACTCATTCCCTCCCCAGACACAGAGCTCACTGGCAGGGCTGGACAAGGCCCACTAGAAATCCATGTAGTGCATTTTGGCCAGCTTGCTGCTGCTACAGAGGGCCATTCTGAGACACTGGGGTGGGGTCTGGACTCCACCCACAGAATACAAAGGCCACCATGGCCTGTCTGGTCAGCTAAACTACATAAGAGTACCAGGTTAGATTTCTTTTATGAACAAAACTCTAAACAGCTTTAATGTCTGTTTCTCCCTAAACATTCTCAAGTCTACAATCACCACAGATCCTAAGAAGATTCAAAATGACAAAATTTGATTTCACCAAAACAGGAGTGACCTGAGGATGCTCAAGGCTTTCTATGCACAGTTCCTGACCCACCTGCCCATGGCCCTCACACCTGCACTGAGCTCATCGCTCCCACTCACCAACAACCCTGGGCAGGAAGAGAGGCTCTCCAGGAGTGCCCACAAAGGCACTAGACCGGAAAGAGGGAGAAAGAGCCTGGTGGGCCCCAAGCAGCTGTAGCCTGGAGCCGCCCAGGTGGCCGATACAGTTCCCACTTTCTGTAGGGAGGATCTGTGCGGAGCACCCCAGAGTCATCTTATCCTGTGAAGACTGGCAGTGAGTGCTATTGGGATGGTCCCTGGTCTGAATGTGATCGGTGGCTTCCTGGCTAGTTCCAGGTGGGCCTTCTAAAGGTAATCACTGTCTGAAGACCCCCAGGGTGAGACAGCCATCAGAAAACCCCTGACAGGACAAGTGCTGCACTGTGGACGCTGCGCTGGGACCTCCATGAACTAAGACAGCAGGCAGTATATGCAGCCAAGAAACCATCTTGGAATGAAGACACTCCCTAGAGAGTGCAGCAGCGGCAAGAAGGGATGTGCATCTAACAGCCATACAGACAAACCTGGGCAGGGAAACAAACTAGCAAGTGCATGAACTGTGTTTCTACGCTCTACAAGTTTTCTTACCAAAACTCTTTTCTTGTTTGGATCAAGCCTTAAAAGAACAATTAAATTGCAAAATAAAACATAAATAGAAGCATACAAGCTTTCCCCATTAGGGCTACCATGAGGTTTGCAGGTTCAACCCATATTGCACACGTTTACAGCCCATTTCATTAGTATGTAACAGTAAAAATCCAAAACAGAGATACTGAAGAACAAAATTAAGTTTGTATGTGCCTCTCAGCTGACAACGACTCAAGGAGTGTCCAATGGCCCGAGCACCTGAGACAGAATCACAATCCAAGAGAACATGGCCGTTTCTTCTTCACTGACAGCCAGGGAACAAGTTGGCAGCACAGGACATGGTTCACAGGATGCAAAGTCTGTGTCAACTTTTACTGCAGATGATCGGCTTCCTTACTGCAGTAAACACTGCATCTGATTCTACTCATAAAGCAGAAACTTCTTTATGGGGTCTGGCAGCGGCAGCGAGGGAACCAGATGCAGTCGGTATTTGCCAAGAGCTCTTCTCACAGCCACACGGCACAAACTCAGCAAGGTTCTGGGAATACCTGGAGAGTGTGAAGGGAAAAGTTTATTCTATTCCAGTTCCAAAGGCCCAAGTTAACTATAGAGGACAAAACTGCACTAACGTAACAACTTCCTAACCTCAGAGACAAGAAGACCCTGGAGGCAAGGAAGGCCCTGCTATCTGATTCCATCTAACCAGGCATGTGCTCATTGGTGGCAGTGGCCCCTTTGCAATTCTCAATGCCCTAGAAAAGGCTGCCCACAGGAGATCCCACAGATGACAGCAAATGACCCTCACTTTTGCTATCCCAGCAGGAGCAAGGAGGCCTGAGGACACCAAGTTTGCAGTATTTGAATTCAGAGACTAGGATGACAGTCCTGCTCCAGATCAAAAAGACTGACACAGCCGTTAAAACCCCATCTCAGGAGGAGATGATGACAAGAAAAAGGATGTGAACACAAGCAGCTTCAGTCTATCAGCCTGCTTCCCAGCTGGCCACCGCCCAGCAACCTGCACACAGCTAAACAAGAACATGTTTCCATAAACTAGCTTGGATGTAGATGGCAAACACACACTAATGGTACTAATGTTCTTTGAGAAGTAAGAGACCAAGGAAAAGACTATCAATTCAGATGTCCTCTGACAAGATGGCAGAGTGAGGGGAGGGGGCACCAGGCAGGAAATAAGACAGACACACAGGTTAATTTCTGAATTCCAGAGAACACTGACAATAAACCCAAGCACAGGTAAAGTTCAAACTCTCTTGCCACTGACTTACTAACTCCTTGGCAAAATGCTTCTACACAAACAGGCAAACTCCAGATTTCATTTTAACAAAAACTGGATTTACCACACAACTCAATCTAAGGCTATTTGAATGGAACTAAAAAAAGGAAAGGAACTCTGGAAAATGAGTTTATATCTCTGTTCACTAAAATACATATGAAGAGAAAGTCAGGGGTAAGGAGGGCAGAGAAGGCAAAGATAAATTAAGAGTAAAACACAATGATCCACGAATGAAAACACCATGATGGGCCAACAAGATGGCTCAGAGGGAAAGAATGCTACTTCTACACTTAATCACCTGAGTTCAACCATGGGACCATTGTGGCAGAAGGAATTTACTCCTTTAAGTTGTCCTCTGATTTCTACACTCATGCTATGGCATATGCATGCTTCACACACGCATATACAATATATTCAAATATTTTGTTTAAATGTTTAAAGAAAATGACATGATGAAACCTATCATTTGGTACAATGATCTAAGAAACAAGAAATAAAAAGAAAAAAAAAATGTGAAAAAGAAATCATTAGCTAAAAGTGAGGTCAAAAAGCAGAGCAAAAGGTAAATAATACAATTCTAAGACCTTTGAAAGCATGCATCTAAAGAGTTTTAGCATCAGCTTTAGGTGTTTAGAAATGGCAAAATACCCATCTAAGGCTGAGGAGAGAGTTTAATCAGTGAAAAGCTTGCCATGAAAACACGACTCATCCTCCCAAAGAAACCAAGAACAGTGACACACAGTGTCATCCCAGCACTAGGGAGGGAAGGAGAAAAGACCCCAGCTGTTCTGCTACCCTGTCTCAAAATAAAGGTAAACAGTACCTGAGGTTGCCCTCTGACCTATACTCTACTCTCTCTCCTCTCTCTGTCTCTGTCTCTGTCTCTCTCTCTCTCTCTCTCACACACACACACACACACACACACACTGAGGGCTCTGATCAGTGCTTAGCTGAAATTTTTTTGGGGGGTATTGTTTTGTTACTTAATATTTACTTATTCATTTTCATGTGTATGGGTGTTTTGCATGCATGTATGTCTGGGCACAGGCATGCAGTACCTACAGAGCCAGAGGAGGGTTTTCTAGAACTGGAGTTATAGACAGTTGGGAGCCTCTAGGAATGAGGGCCTCTGAAAGAGCAGTCAGTGCTCTTAACAGCTGAGCCATTTCTCCAAGCCCTGTTTCAGTTACGATTACATCTCACTGGTTCAATCAACCCCAGACCACAAGGCAGTGCTGAGTTCAGGCCACTTACTTCTGGCCTCTTTAAAGACTTGTAAGGCCTCAGGGTCCATCTTCCTTCTGCCTCTTGCCTCTGGGCCAAGTGATTCCCACTTCACCAGGTTCAGGTTGGCTCCAAACTCTACTAGCAGGCTCACGAAGGCCGCCTCACAACCATGGCGCAGGACAGCATCCATGACACACCCAGGGGACCCCCTATAGAATTCCTGTGTATTGACAGGGCCATTACAATTGAAGTCGGGATTTGCCCCAGCCTGCAGGAGGAGCCGGAAGCACTGAAGGTTATGGTAGGCAGCACTGATGTATAGAGGACAGACCACCAAGGATGTAAGCCGCCTTGAGAAAGGGGGCCGGGTGTCAGGAGTCAAATGATGGTTGACATCTACATCTGCCCCATACCTACAGGAAGAGAAAAGTAAGTTATAGTAAGTCAAACTCAGACCACACAGACTGTCCAGCACCCTAAAGACGGCATTAGACAGTCACACAGGGAACCTCTAGAGACTCCACCGGTCTCAGATACACCATCCCTCTCATCTGCAGGTACTGTATTCAAAGACTCAACTAACAGCAGATCAAACACAGGGGAAAACTCAGCCTAGAATGAACATGACAGTCACTTTCCTGTCTTAATGGGGAAGGGTGGTCTTGAACTTTTTAATACTTATTTCCCCAGGACAACTGGGGATGCATATGGGAAAAGACAGTCCATTCACCACGGTGCACACCAAGATTAATCCCAAATAGATCAGAGTTTCCAAATAAACTATGAACCCATATGGAAACTAGGCAAATTTATTTAGGCTGGTGAAATGGCTCAGTGGGTAAAGTCCCTTGTTATCAAGACTGATTGATGGCCTGAGTTCAATCCCTGGTACCCACACTCTGGAAGGAGAGAACCGACTTCTGTCAGTTGTCCTCTGACCTCCACACCCATGCCATGAAGTGACTCTCACACACGCTAAAAGAATTTTGTTGAATTTTAAAGTACCCCAAGATTCTACTCCCAATGTTTACTGCCTGTGCTTTAATAGAAACAGAACTATCATCACTGATGACAACTGAAATGGGGCATTCCCTTTGGAGAGAAATTTGGCAATTCTATCAATATTACAGATGCACTTACCCTCGAACCCATCCATCACACTTCTTGGGATTTGTTCCCAAGACACATTTACAAAACTAAGAAGATGTGTGCACAAGACAATTCATTAAATCACTGTTCCTAATAGCTGAGCCAGGAAACCACCAACAGGGACTGTCTGTTTTACCCCTAAGAGGCAGAACTAACAAGCTATGAAGGGAAGGAGGAATATTGTTCCACTGCTCTGGAATATCCTCCAGAGCACATGAATGTATGAGAAAGGGGAGGTAGGAACGTGTGCAGTATATACTTATTTACAGGTTTGCCATGTGTAAATATAGAATACTCGGCCACACATATGCATTTGTAATAGTGAAGGACAAATTATAGACCTAAACACTTACCTAGAGGGGAGGGAGCGATCAGGACAATGAGACAAGGCTAAAAGCTAGACTTTTTTCAATACACCTTGCTGTGTAGATTATAGTTGGAACCATGTAAACACTTTCCACGGTGAAGCAACCACTAAAACCTGAGAGTAAAGAGGAACCAGCAAACCCATGTATATCCGCAGCTGCTCAGCCATGCTGTGCTCCCCAACATGATGAGTCTTCTTTTCAGAGAGTCTAAACATTCAGCCTCACGGGACTGCAGGAATACTCCCAGCATCAGGTTCAATTGCAAGGACTTAAGGACCCAGAACAGGAAGCGTGGCTTCACAGCAGGGTAGTGTCATGCAGCTCTGCCCAGGAGGCAGGTGCATGGCAGTCAGAAAGTGACTCCCAGAGCTGACCATTTCCTGACTCCCAAGGACAGTCAGATGTCAGGACTCTCTCTCACCAGATGCAGGTGCTGAAGTACCCACAGCAAGTCTTTTCTGTTGCCCTTGGCCAGATACAACAGGGAGGGCAACCGGGCTCAGGGGGAAGAGTTCTGACAAAGTAAGCAAGGGACCTGCTAAGGACAAGCCTTGGCATAAGCCAATGGAGCCCAAATCGGGCAAGGGGAAGTGAGGAGAGGCAGCAAGAGATGCAGATTAGCTTCAGTGTATAATGGGAACAGAAAGGTTTTATGAACACACACCCTTGGCTCCAGGGATGGAACAGCAATGCTTCCAGAGTAGAATGAACTCCTAAAAGTACTTCAAGTCTTGGTTTCTTTTCTTTTTGAGACAGGTTCCCACTATGTTGCACAGACTAGTGGCAATCATTCAAATAGCTAGGTTACAGGCATAGGCTACTCTGCCCAGCTTAGATCTTGTTTCTGCACAGAATTCTTCACTGAAAGAAGACTTACTCCAGGACTGACTCAATGAGCTTAGACTACCTGTTAGTCATGAAAGTAAGGAACTGCTCACAAAACAATAAGGACACAAAGCTGGCTTAAACCACCAATAACATTAATGTGATCCTCAAAGTAACAATGTTGGGTTGTAAGTGACAATGATGGATTGTAACTCCACCTGAACAAGATAAGAAACCATAAGTCTACAATAACATAAATAAAAATTTGAGATGAGGCACAAGGCATATATATGGTTGTATAATGTCTCCCCATAAGATACTAATTACAAAGGGAAGAACAACTTACAGTAAAAAACCTGGCAGACACCACTATCACCAAAGGATCAGAATGAAAAGGCAGGAGAAACAGGGTCAATGATCAATGACAGCAGGACTTAGTCCTGCAAGATTCCTGTCCAAGAGACTCAGTCACCTAGCTCCTCAGTCACCTGCCACCTGGCCCCAGACAGTTCTGTGATGTCTCACAAACTGTCACCATCTGAATATTTCACTTGAAACAGGAAATGACAACACACAGGAATACTACCATTTTCCCTGCCTAGACGGCAGATGGCAACAGTCTCCGCCAGCAGTCCTGCTTCACAATCTGTCTCCATCTGCACTTCAGGTCTCCAAAGGAACTGGAATCAAAGGTGCTTCTTTGGGACAGCACAGGCCTGACGACACACAAGGCCGATACCCTTTATGGGCACCTTTCCTCTACAAATACAACCTTACACTTCCCTGAGACTTCCTAGGAGTGAGAGGAGAATACAGGCAGAAAATCATCCCATTTCATTCTTCAACTAACAAAAGGAAATCGGCATCTTGCATAGTAATTATTTCCTCCTTCCTCATTGGAAACATGTCTTCCAAATTGTTTATAATCTTGTGTGACAGTGTGACACTCTGGTACCAACTGAGCTGTAGGAAAGACAGCCTTTGAAACTACCTACCTCAACCTCTCCAGTGCTGGTATTAAAATAGGCATCACCTCATCCAGCAAACTTCCATTTTCTAAAAGTCAATCACCATAGTTTGGAATACAGAAAGATGATAAATAAAATAATATGTGCTAATATGCTTTCTTGTGAGGGTAGTGCCCTGTGCCCCACAGAGGAAACAGGATGTATTGTCTGAAACGTCCACAGGGATTTCTGAACTAAAGTAGAATTTCATTAACTCATCAAAAACATTTCCACAGGCACAAATGAATGGCTCAGTGGGTAAAGGATCTTGTCGCCAAGTCTAATGACTTCAGTTCCATCTCCAGAACCCACATAGTGGAAAGAGAAAATCAACCCCCACAAGTTGTCCCCTGACCTCCACAGGCATACTATGGAATGTGCATGAACATATATATGTACACACAAAAACACACAAATATAAGAAATTCAAAAGCATAGCCAGGCAGTAGTGGTACACACCTTTAATCCCAGCACTCAGGAGGCAGAGGCAGGTGGATCTTGTTGAGTTTAAGGCCAGCCTGATCTACAGAGCAATTTCCAAGAAAATCAGGGCTGTTACACAGAGAAATCCTGTCTCAAAAAAAAAAAAAAAAAAAAATAGAAATATTTCCACATTAACCCTTAAATTCTCTAAGAATGTAAAAGCATGAATTTAAGGTAGCTTAGATAGCCATGCTAGAAATGCCTAAATGATTTTTTAAAGCCCAAACTTTACTGCCCTCTAATTTAAAACCTCCCTGATAATTTTTCTCCCCCATACAAAGTCTACAGCTGATTAGTATAAAACCCTTTTGAAAGAATATATTTCCAGCCCCAGTCACTGAGTTGCCATGGAGGACTCAGCTGCCTACCCCTCAAGCCCCTTGCTCGGTCTCCTCTCCCCGCCTTCTCCCACAGCCGCCTTCTGCAGGCCGTTTCCATCTAGGAAAAGGAATCGTATGTCCACTATCCAGAACTTCCACTCTTTCAACCCCTTTGCTGATGCAAGTAAAGGTGATGACCTCTTCCTGCTAGCACTGAAGATTATATCCATACAATAATTCAACAAAGAAAGGGCAGGAAGACCCTTACCACTGTCCAATGGATTGCTGACGATTACGATTAAAAAAAAAAAAAAAAACAAACTAGTGAAGGCGTCGAAGAAGAAATTTGCCTGCAATGGTATTGTAATTGAACATCCAGAATATGGAGAAGTAATTCACCTACAGGGTGACCAGCTCAAGAACATACTCGAGTTCCTGATAGAGATTGAACTGGCTAAGGACGCCCAGCTGAAGGTTCATGGGTTTGAGGTGCTTGTGACTCTCTGAAACTTGAGGATTTCCTTACAATAAGGAGAATTTCCCTCCTGTCCCCTATCACAAGATTAAAAACCTCACAGCTTGTACAATGTAACCATTTGGGATCTGCTTTTAACTTGAATTAGTGTAACTCCTTCATGCAATAAACTGAAAAGAGGAAAAAGAAAAAGAATATATTTCCAGAACCCTACCAGGCAAATGCTCACTCATCTGAGCCCACTGTTGACAGTCTTACAAACTTTTACCTGCTCCTCCTCTACACAAAGACTCTCACTAAGGGCTAACTAGCTACAAAAGCTACACTGACCTTCACAGCTGGCCTTCACAGTAAGGGATGAACAAGATACCTACTGTAGAAAGACATTACTGAAAATATGAAAAGGGAGAACACAAGCTGGTTCAAACTGAAGTAAATGTAATATTAATATAATTAAGTCACAATACTCAGAGCAAAACCTAATTGAAATGCAGAGGCAGCTGACAAAAGTCACAACAGTGATTACAGACTTAAACATTTCTCTAAATTTTGGCAGATTTGATGGCAAAGAAAAAAGGGGGATCTCAAAGAAAAGAACTTAGGCTAACACATCACACAAGCATTCACAACAATGTGTGTGAGTGACATCGATAATGAATATCTTCACTGTTATTACAAAATCCTCTTCCATAACTCTAAGAACAAAGAAACCAACCTCAACTACGGCTATTTTAAAAATTAAGCTCCTGGGACTAGAGAGATGACTCAGCAATTAAGCATTTGCTGCACTTGAAAAGGACAGAGTTCAGTTCCCAGCATGCATCATATGGCTCACAACTACCTGTACCAACTCCAGGGGATCTGATGCCCCCTTCTGGTACCCACACATGGTACACACACATACATACACACACACGAAAAATTTTAATATTTAAATAAAGAACTTTAGAGAATATAGCCAAAGCTATAAATGAAGGTGAATTACACTGAAACTTTACATTGTTAAAAATAAATAAGCATACAACTCAAAAAGTTAAGGAAACTAACAGTAAGCACAAGACATCAGTGGGTCAGAGAGCAATGAAGAGCACTAATGAAGTAATCCTTCCAAGGCCTCTAACAATCAACTCTTAAATCAGGAATGGCAAGTACAGAAACCAGGGCAATGGCTATGGACCTGCAGTACTAACCTGATTAGAGCCTTCAGGATGTCATCCCTACCCACTCGAGAGGCATGGTAGACAGGAGTACTGCGGTGGTGCCGGCTGCCGTTGGGGTCAGCACCAGCTTCCAAAAGGATCTTGGTGCTCTCCAGGTGCCCATTCACTACAGCCACATACAGGGCAGTCTGCCCCTTGACATCCACCAGGTCCACCTCTGCCCCTTTGCGAATGAGGAAGTCCACACAGTTCCCATGGCCTGCAGTGGCTGCAATTCTCAGTGGTGTACAGGGGAGCCAGCCACAGCACCAGACAGACTTCTCATTGATGCGGCTGGATGGGAACACAGGAAGCTTATGAGAGTCACCCCAGGCAAATGAGCTGTTCTCCCTCCTCACACTGGCAGAGACTCCCAAGAAAGATATCCATTTTGGTAGCCAACCCTCAGACTTAGAATACCTTCACCTGTGTTCTGCTTTCTTTCTCGTGGTGCTGAAGATTAAACCCAGGATCCTGTACATGCTATGCAAATACTGTACCCCTGAACTACATCGCCAGCCCTTTGTATTCTATGTCCTGAAAGGCTTCCACAATTGCCCCTGCTGAATTCAAGCAGAGAAAATAGGTATTCAGGGTCCACTGACAAGGAAACTAGAGACTTCGACAAAATAATTAGCACTAAAAATGAGATTTCTAGTTCTGAGATTCTTAACCCACATTCCAAAGCCTGTTCCTCTACAAAACAAATACAGATCCATCAGGGACACAGGGCAAGAAAGGCAGGGTCATGAACACCCTCTTTAAATCTTGCTGAATGTTAATGAACTAAAAATTGTTAACTGTGATTCTTACTTTATAACTGTTGTGTGATATATTTTGCTATGCTAAGGTAAAAGTCCTTTTTATTTTAGACAGAAAAGAGGAGATGATGGGAGATGTCATTCTATAAATATGTTCCTCATACTGGTTAATGAATAATGCACTGTTGGCCAATAGGAAAGCATAGGCAGGACTAGGAGACAAGGAGGATTCGAGGAAGTAGTAAGGAGGAGCCAGCATGTAGAGACCAAAGAGAACAGAGGTCTCAGCCCCACTCTCCGGTAAGATGAGACCACGTGGAAATACTTAGATTAATAGAAATGGGTTAATACTTAAGACAGCTAGCCGATAAGAAACAAGTAACTGGCCAACAGCATTATATCAAATACAGTCTCTGTGTGTTAATTGGGGCTGCCGCCTCAGTGGGTCCAGGCCAGCAGGGGAAAAAACTACTCGCAACAGGCATGTGCTCTATAAAAGAGTGCTAAGACATTAGAAGGATATGAAAGGAACACACTCCTGGTTGGTTAGGAATCCTTTGCTAGGGAATTGTCTACACAAAGGCAGTAGTGTAGGTCTCCCACAGGGACTTCCTATATCCACTCCTCAAGACAAAGTAGAAACATAGAAGTATAAAAAGCCAGTTCCAGTTGTACTCAATGTCTAGTTAGGGCTTCATTCACCCAAAGTACTCAAGGAACCCCCAGAGAGAATGATGGGTGCTCTCCCAACATCTTGCACAGGGAGATACATATTTTAAGACTCTGCCTTAAAAGAAGAGCCAAGACTTAGTGACTGGAAGGATTCTGTAATCAAAAGGCTAGGAAAAGAAATCAAAGGAGATGGCAGCCGCCACATCCCTATAGTGGGAAGTCAGCTGGCCTATGGCTGATCATTACAGACTGGAGAAGTGAAAAAGAGATCAAAGGAATGTCAATAAAGTGGCTGTAGGAAAAGAACTACCCAAAATAAACAGCCATAGGAGATGGGCTGGGAAAATGCTTAATGGCTAAGAGCATGTGCCACTCTCCCAGAGGACCTGAGTTCAATTCCCAGTACCCACATCGGGTGGGTCACAATAACCTGTAACTTGCAACACCAAGGGATGATCTCTTCATGTCTCTGTGGCCACCTGTGTTTACATGCACATACCCTCCCACCCCCATATACTACACAATTAAAATAAGTAAAATAGTCAGGGATAGCAGTACACACCTTTAGTCCTAGCAGGGGGCAGAGGCAGGCAGATCTCTGTGAATTTGAGGCCAGTCTAGTCTACATAATGAGTTCTGATCCAGCCAAGGCTACATAGTGGTTTCAAATGAATAAATAAAACATCTTTTTTGTTTTTTTAAAGACTTGGAGACTTGGAGGGGTATCTCTAACACAGGCTTCAAGAAAAACAGAGGAAACTAATGCCAATACCCAGATAAGACAAATTGCCAGAAAACACAAAGGTCAATGACAGGGCCAGACTTGGGCCCAGGGACCCCTGCCTACAATATCTGACCACCAATAATTCTTCCTTTTGTCCCCCCTCTAAAATCAAAGTGAATTCCTGAAGCATCAGTCTTAATCTGCAATCCAAACCACAAATTCCAGCCTCCTGAAGACCCACAGGTCCCTGTTACCGGCCCCAGCAGGAACACTCACCTTCGGTAGCTCTCCTCTTGCAATAGGTTTCTTAGGGTTTGGAGGTCCCCTACATAGGCTGCATCATGGAGTCTTGTATCTTCACAGTGCTCTAGTGGATGGTCACAGAATTGCTCCCTCAGCCACTCCTTCAGATTAGGACCTGCACTGAAGAGAGGGACTCCTATCAGGGTGGGAAACCATTAGCAAAGCCAACCAAACTGGATGCCTTTTGAAGTGTCTCCTTCCTGCCCAGCCATACAGGAACATTCAAATTCCCAAAAATAATTCTTAATAGGAAGCTGTAAAGTTTTCCTTATCAAACACCAAGCCTGTTAAGAATTTTTTATACAAAGAAAAGGTGATGGACTTGGGAACAATAAGCCAATAGTACTTCATAACATAGTAGTACTTCATAACATAGAATATCCTAAATAAAGAACTACCAAATTAAAGTTTAAAATATTATACCAAAAAAATCTAGCATGTACTTATTCTAATTTATCCCAAGTATGTAAGAGCATCTCAAATTGGGGTATCTGAAAGAAGAATTTATTACAAAGACAGCTGGTCAGCCAAAGCAAAGGGCCAAACAACAGTTGTTACCTGGAAGGTGGATGAGCTCCCTACCATGCTGCTCTGAGAAGTAACAAGGGTGTCTCAATAAGAAACAATTCAGCAGAGTACTACTGTATCCACAGAGGGCCATGTGTTAGAGGTGTGGGAGTGCTGGGAGGCAGCAAAGACCACTCCACAGGGTCAGAGGAAAGTGTCTTCCTGCAGGACTAAAGAAGTTCTCCTGGGATCCTGGCTAGCTCTTATCAGAGGGTTATTACTGTAAGAGCATGAGACCAGCCCCACCTAGTCTCTGGCTTCCTGGTTAGCAGGAAATCACAGCTCCCCCGCTGCTGTCTGTCTCCAGGTGCCATCCATAGGTAAGGTGAGAGGCCTACATCAGAACCTCCACCGTGATATTCGGCCTCTAATGCTGAACTAAATAAACCTCTTTTCTTTATAGTTATCCTATCTCAGGCATTTTGTTGTAGTAATGAAAATGAAATAACAGGAAATAAATCTCAAAGGTATATATTTTATATTGAAATTATACCTCAAGAGGCTGGGGAGATGCCTTAATTGGTTGTACTTGCCATGCAAACATGAGCCCTTAAGCTCATGATCCCCACCACTCATATAAAAAGCCAAGACCAGTTGCACATGCCTCTAGTTCTACTGGGGCTAGGGGAAGCAAAGACAGGAGGCTCCCTGGGGTTGTGGATTTCTGGGCTGGCTGGCAGCCAATCTAGCTAAACCCAAATCTGAAGGCTCCATGTGCAGTGAGAGACCTTGTTTCAAAACTAAGGTGAAAAGTGAGGATAGCACTAAATGTTGACCTCTGACCTCTACATATTCATGTTTATACAGAGAGAAAAAAATAACACCTCAGTAAAGTAAAAAACTAAAAAATATATGCATAAATACAAATTCAGCCTATATAACAAAAAAATAAAGAGGATTAAATAGAAAAACCATACATACCATGTACTAGAATGAGAAGATCCACTATTAGAGAAATTCTCAAGGTCACCCATAAATAAAATGTAACCAGTCTCTTCAGAAATTTGATACCATATATATCAAGAAATTTCAAATTGTATTTGTAGGTATACATAAGGGAGAATTGCTCTTTATTTCAGTAAGAATAATGGGCCAGGCAGCCATGGCGGACACCTTTAATCCCAGAACTTGGGAGGCAGAGGCAAGTGGATCTCTGCAAGTGAAAGGCCAGCCAAAGAAATCCTGTCTTGAAAAACAAAAAACAAACAAAAGAATAATGGGGTTAAAAAAAAAAAAAAAACAAGCAAACAAAAAACCTCTACCATACTAGATAACAAAACTCACCAAACTGAACAATAATAAACCAAATAACAGCAACAAACCAGGCATCAAAAGCAGAGAGAGAAATATTGTCAATGGGGATTATATGTATAATTAATCACCTGTTTGGAAACACTTGCATCTTTGTTCACATCACAGCCCAAATTTTAACTCCAGTTATATATATATATATATATATATATATATATATATATATATATATATATATAAATTGCACCAATAGGTGTTATAAAAACAGCACAAATTCTAACCCTGAGATACAAGTCTCCCGCCCTGTGATGATTTCCTACCATATACTCGAGCAGAGTTCTAAAGAACACCCTTTCACAAGCAGGGTTTTTCTAGATGCTGAAGTTTTTCAAGATTCTCCTAAAGGTACAGTGTAGTGATGAGTAAGTATCCTAACCCTCCAGATCAGAAAGTCCAAGACAAAAGGCTAACGGCAGCACAAGGTTCACAAACACCTATGTGGCTCCCTCTGATCCCACAACCAGAAGTGCAGCAGATGGACAGGTGGGCATCAAGCTGGAAACCACTCTTTAAGGCTCTATCCAGGTCCTCCTTCAATCATTGTAAGTGTATTGCATTTACCAATGGGTATAAATGTTCGAGGCCAAAGTTGGGAAAGATTCAGATGTGTGGGCTGACTGTTGGGAAAGTGGGCACCAGAGGACTTGCCCATGTCTTTGAACCTCCCTTTGCTCACCTCTCTTCAACGCTACCAGTTTTTTTTTTCCAGGTGGAGTTACAAGGCCAGCTGAAGGCCAGCTCCACCTGGCCTTGTAACTGCCAGCCTGTTAGCCGATCCTAGTCTGCCATGACCCCCTCAGAACCTCCCCCAATTCTAGAGTCAAAGGCTGCTTCATGTTTATGTTTTTCCGACCATCTAATCCAGTGACAAAACAAGACAACTCCCAAGATAGCACTCAAGACCTACCCCTCCTCCCCCAAGCTGGAAACACACTAACAGGTACTGAAAGTAGACTGTAGGGGACCAAAACCATGGTTTCTTCCACGGGACCCTTCTTTATACTAAGAAATAGCTGTCTTTTATCCACCTCTCTCCCATCTCTCACTTCTGCATGACAGGGCAGTCTACTCAAAGATCTTGTCTGTCCCTGAGATCAAAGTCAATGCCAACCAAAGTTCTTGGTGGTAGAGGCTTTATCTAGTCTCTTCAAGTCACCCTGATAGCCTCTAGTGAGCCAAGCCGACAGTAGACCATCAATAAAGTTTGTAGACTAGATGGAGGAATGACAAAACTGTCATTTGTGTGGCCTTTTGAGATTTTTGACTCCTAACAGAGTTAGCTGAACAGAACAAGTGCCTCTCCAAACCCAGAGATGCACACAGCAAGTCACCTCTGAGACGCGCCTCAGTCTCAGAGAGACCCCAATGTGGGCCTTCGTACCAGGAAATTCTTCTCCTGGAGGTTCTCAAGTTTCACAGTATCAGCAACGCAAAGTGGCGATGCTAAGCCAGGTGGCAAGTGTCAGCCTTTCTAAAAGGTGGGTCAGGTGCCGCTGTAAATGCTATGTCACTGGCAAACTCGCTGGGGACAGCATGGTAGTGTGTGTGTGTGTGGGGGGGGGGGGGTCCTGTGGCTACGATGCACCATCTCTGCCGTGCGCTGACTGGCGGGACGGGATGAGGAAAAGGAGCCTGCCCTACAGAGGCCGGACCCCTGTCCAGTGTGCTCAGACCTGGAAGAGGCTCCGTGCCCCACGACACAGCTGGGGTCATCGTGGACTTGGATCCGCCAACGGATCGGCTAACTAGCTCCACCTGGCCTTGTAACCCCACGGGGGGCGGGGGGGACCCGCGGGAGGGCTGAACACCAGAGGCCGAGGGCGGAGGTGGCGCCCTGCGCCCCGCGAGGCCTGACGTCCACTTTCTGACCCCGGCTGCGGCTCCGCGAACCTGGCGGGCGGGGACGGAGGGCGAGCGCCCCGGATGCCCGAGGGCCACTGACTGACCCCGACACGCAGCCGCGCTGCCCACCACCCCCCGCCGCTCACGTTACCTGCGGACCCCGGGCCGGACCGCCCTTCGGGGCTCCCGCCCTCCGCCATGCCGACTCGGTCCTCAGCCTCCGCAGCGACCCCGCGTCAAAGGGCAAGCCTGGCCGAGATACACCTCCGGCGCTTCCGGCAGGTGGGCGTGTCCGGGGCTCCCACTTCCGGCTCTGCCTGCAGGGCGCTTGGGTCTCCACTTCCGGCCTCGCTAACGGACTTGAGAGCGGATCTGTGAGGAAGGCAAAACCGTAGCGGCGTCTACAGAGGAAGCGGCTAGTCTGGGGCAACGCCTTTCCCCGGGGGGCGGAGGCTCGTTTGCATGCCTCAGGACCCCTGATTGGCAGGTCCTGCCCCAGCCCACGGAGAAGGCGGGACCCGAGCGGGACCGTTTACGGGCATGTAGGCTGTTGCCGGCTCCCGCGGCGGCAGAATGCCGGGCAGCGCGGCTCCAGACGGTGCCTTCCGAGCCGCTAACTTGTAAAGTGTTAGTGGAATGCAACCCAGACTGTCTCCTTGGAGCCAGCTGTGTTTGTAAGCCTGGCCAGGCGTGTGCACCGAGTGCCTTTCCTCAAACACTCCCGATTTTATACGGATCCCGAACATGGACGCCGTCGGGTCCTTCCATTCTCCCCAGTGAACCGGGGAGGCTGCGCCTTAAGGAGACAGAAGCTCCCCGCCGTCCGGTGAGGTGGAGGCCAGGCCGCAATCCCCGACACGGTGGCTGTGACTTGTCTGCATCTTTGTGTGGTCATGGCACATCAGCTGAGAGCTGTCAACCCATAGGGACCCAGCATATCCTCGTGCCCAGACTGGCTCAGTTGCACGGGTCTGTGGGGCTGGGTGGAACAACCTGGAACAGAGCCGCGGGCATTGAGGGTGTTGAGGGGAAAGAGAAGAGATTGCTGCAGTGGTGTTTGGGTTTGATAACAGCACACAGCACTGCTGGCACGAGGGACAGGTGACAATGATGCTGCAAGGCAGAGCCAGGTGGCACAGCCTCATGGCTCTACTCCACAGCTGCAAATGCCTAGCCGGGATGCCTCGAGTGTAAAACCTCCCAGATGGGCATGCATGAATAAATAAATACACTTAAAATGCGGCGCTGTGGACCGTCCAAACAGCCTTAAAAAGTCTCCATCCCAGGCTACAGCACGGACAATTCTGGAGGACACTGTGCTCAGTGAAACAAGCCACCTCTAAAGAACAAATCTTCCCCTCATGGGAGGTCACTAAAGGAATCAACTTCATAGAAGCAAAGTGGAATAACGGAACAGGGAGTGTCCATGATGAGGGGACAGAGATAAAACCCCATGCTGTCACCCTAGCCAGAGAATGCCCCTTAGTTGTCTTAGAAACTGCAAAAAGACTCGGGCCAAACTCGATTCATGGCTTTGACTGAGACAAGAATTCTAGGATTATTAAAAGCAAATTTGAGGGTTTTATTAAAGGTATTTTAACATAGACTTTAACCACAAGGCTTAGAAGAGAATACTAAGAAAGACATACCCAAGTGTAGCTCCTCCCAGAACTCACAATCTTAGCACTAGCTAAGCTGTGTACACCGTTTTGATGGCTCTCAACTTAGATCTCAAAAGGTTGCTCAGAAACTTTGTGTGTGTGTGTGTGTGTGTGTGTGTGTGTGTGTGTGTGTGTGTGTGTGTCTGTGTCTGTGTCTGTGTGTTATTAGGGTGGCTTCAGACATGCCTTGTGTGGAATTATAATCTAATAAGGTAAAACCAGGAGCCACTGATTTCTTAAGGAGTTTTGTGCATGTGCTGTTCCTGTAAATGAATTTTCTGCTGAGAGTCCTAGAAAGAAAGAAAAAAAAAAAAAAAGAGCAGATTTATAGCTTGGGAGAGGGGATGGCCTTGAGCAGTTAATTGAGCCAGAATTTTTGCTTCTCTGTAGGCAAGAGGCTTCAACCAAATTCCTGGATGAGGACTCTCCTCTTTCTTCTCACAATCCTATAATTTCCCTTTCTATCCTACCTCAGGGGGAACAGGAAGTGAATGTTTTAAAGATTTGTGTGTGTGGGGGGGGGGTGGAGATAAGGTCTTAGCCCTTGGCTGGCCTGGAACTCACTGTGCAGACAAGTCTTATCTTCAACTCAAAGAGATCCACCTGCCTCTGCTTTCCCAGGTGCTGGGAAAGTGTACCACCATAGCTGGCAAGATTGTTTTTCTATTTATTTAATGTATGTGTGCATGCTATGAGCATCATGTGTGTCCAGGTTCCCTGGGAGGCCAGAGGAGGGGATTAGATAGCCTGGAGCTGAACTTAGAGGCAGTTATGAGCTGGTGCTGGGAACTGAACTCTGCTCCACCCCTGAGGCATCTCTCCAGCCCCAGAAGTTAGTATTTTAATGGGAACCGTATCAGTCTGGAAAGATGAAAAGGTTTGGAGTTGATTATATTGTGTTTACTTGTAGTCACAACTTTTAAAAGGTTAAAATGGCTAATTTTCTATTTTATCAGTTTTGAGGTTTCAAGATAGGTTCTCACTATGTAGCTCTGGGTGTTCTGGAACTCACTGTGTAGACCAGGATGGCTTTGAGCTCACAGAGACACCCTGCCTCTGCCTCCCAAGTGCTGGCATTAAAGTCATTGACCCAGCATAACATTTTTAAAAGAGGTTCTGGACTGTATATTTTTGTGTACTTTTTTGTTGTTTTGGTTTAAGGTAGGTGTGTGTGCATGTATGTGAGTGTGTGTGTGTGTGTGTGTGTGTGTGTGTGAGAGAGAGAGAGAGAGAGAGAGAGAGAGAGGAGAGATGGGTCAGTAGGATGATCTGGGAAGGTGGGGAGGGGAATGAATATGATCAAAACATGTTGTGTGAAAAACTTTAAGAGATTTTGATTATGCGGGTCTTGTCCGGGTCATGTTGTCAACATCTCCTGTGACGCTAGCATGCAGCCAGCTTCAGCTGTGCCACCTAGCCTAGTCCCAAGGAGCCCAAGTAGCTGCCCTATTTTTTCACAGCCTTTGCATGGAGGCCATGTGGCCTGATCGAGCCTTACTCCTACACCTTCATGCCCGTCTGCCTCTGCTGCTCCTGTGCAGAGGTATGCCACCCTTGGTTCATGAAGCGAAGGTGGTCTCCCATATATGTCCAGTAACTGATGTGAACTGTGCAATTTACCTTTTCAGGGGAGACGGGGAGACATCCAGTAGCTGCCCCTCTGATGCCAGGGCTACGGGCCCTAGCATAGGAGTTCATGAAATGAATCAATTAAAAAAGCCCCCCTAGTTCCCTCCTTTGGCTCATGGCAAATCTCCTGCCTCAGTCTCTCAAGTGCTAAGGTCACAGGTATGAGCCACCACACAAAGCTAAAACATTTTTACTTCATATTTAAAGCCTTTGAACAGTTTCAAAAGCCAAAATCTACCCACACTGGAATGTTAAGACACTGTGTTGTGACTCTCCTGAGAAGCCTGTGCCCACTGGAGTGTGACTACTGTCCTCTTACTTTTCTTTTGAAAAAAGAGTGGTGTGTGTATGTTTGTTTATGCCATACACATGCAGTACCCAGAGAGGTTCCAGGGTTGGCTCCCTTGGAGCTGGAGTTACAGGTGTTTGTAGGCACCTGATACAGATGCTTAGGAACCAAACTCATGCCCCACTCAGCCATCTCCATCCCAACCATAATCTCTCTTAATTCCCATGCTTAAATCTTTGTGAAAGCTTTGTCCAGACTCACACTGAAATCCTTTTCTGCAGGGAATAACCCTGGCTTCCTCTGAGTGAGGTTCAGAAAAGCTCCATGAGCTGCTGTAGGCAGGAGTGCAGAAACGGCCCTTGCCTGTGTCTGGTGCCTACCATGCGCTGGAACTGTGGGAGATGGAGAGCTGAAGAATGCTTGGCCTAAAGTGGGAGGGAGCAGAGGAAACCACTCAGACAGACAGAGCATTGAGAGTGACCCCCATCCCAGGTCAGGGAGTTAGTCCAGGATGGAGGGGTTCCAGAACATAGATCTGCGGCTTCACAACCAGGGTAAGAGGGGACTGCAGCCCCCTGCAGCCTGGACTCTGCCCTTCACTGTATACTCCTCATTGCCAGGTAACATTTTCCTCCCATAAAACGTGGCTTCTGTCAGTTGGACTCATAAACCCGATAATGATCCCTGAAGGCCAGCCTTGTGCCCCTTAGGCAGACATCTGAGGCCTTCATTAGGGAAGCCCAGTCCCCACCCCACCCTCCACCTCCCACTGTACATACACAGACATGGTTCTCACACCATCCCAGAGCTCTTTCTCCAGTTCATCGGGTGTCCCATCTGACGATCAGAGCCCTGGGCTCCCAGCCCTGCTCCACCCATGAGATCCCTGGCATTTATCACCTCACCTCACAGCTGTCCCAGAAGCTATCTCCTGTAGACACTCATTTCTCCCTCTGCTGGGATGAATGTGTGTTTCTCTCATGGGGACTTGCCTGGGCTTATGGGGACAAGCGGATCAATGTTACTCAACAGCTAGAGCCAACAAGATCCAGAAATGCAGGGACAATCAAAATGGAATGCTGCCCCTTGGAACTGGTGGACCAGAGGAGTGTTGAAGAGTGGCCTCAAAGGAAACTGGCTCCTCTGAATGCAAGCCAGCGACACAAAGGGTCGTTGCAAATGTCAGTGAAGACCCTCAAAATGAAGTCACTTGGAGTAGGGTAGACTCCCAGTATAGTTTATTCCAAAAGACACAGCCATTAAAGGCCTGGTTCCCAGTCTGTGGTGCCATTAGAAGCTGGTAGAACCCTCAGGAGGAGCTCATGTCAGAAACTGGGGTGAATGGAAATGTTCCATCAGACTGTGGGGCCCACACCTTCCTCTTCTTTTACTTCCTGGCCATGCAATGAGTGGTTTTGCTCTGTTACCCTGAGGCCAGAAAAGGGTCATCTGGCCACTAGCTCAAAAAACTGTGAGAGCCTGCTCCGTGGCCTCACTAACAGGCCACCCAGCTCTTCACTCAGAAGCAGTTTTTCAGCACATGCCCACAGTCTCCGAAAGCAACACTCTGGTTTCCCTTCTGGACCAGGAGCAAGTCCAGCTGACTCCCCAACCAGGACCTGAGGTATAGGAAAGGCTCCCCTAAAGGACGTGTAAGACAGGAAAAGGCAAAGACATCATAGCATGTAGCCACTCTTAGCTGTGTTACCCAGAAGCACTGTTTAGCAGACTTTGTCTTTCAGAAGTTAATTATTCTCATGCTTAGAACTTATTTCCTCATAGGCCCCAAACCAAAGGACACAGCACAAGGGGGGGGGGGCTGTTGTGGGAGCTGACTCCTGCAGAGGTCACACTGGGGCCAGAGGCAATGCACTACCGTGGGCAAGGAACCAGCAGAGGCTATTTCTGAAGCCATAAAGGATCAAAATGCCCGGTGTTGCAATTAATAAATACCATTGTTGATAGACAGGAACAAAGCCCGCCTTTACTTCTTGATTTGGTGGCCCGTTTGGTGAAGCACTTAGGAACAGGCTCGGCCAACATACACACATAATGGCTTTAATTACATCCTGTGAATTTATTTTTCCAGGGAGAAATATTTCTGAGGGGAAATGTCCATAAAAGTAGCTTTAGCAGAGTGTGATTGTGTGCATTTCCTATAGGAAATCTGTTTAGTTTAAATCCCAGCTTCAGGGCACAAAGACAGGGGACCCAGAGCAACCTGCTGACAGCCCAGAGGGGGGGGTGGTCCAGGGCCACTGTGCCCTTTGCCCTTGAGATGACTCTCTGTTGGGCACTCGGTAATTCAGATTTATTCTTAGGAGTGAAGTGGCTATGCTTTCATGGCTACGTGCTGGCACTGTCCTGCCAACTGAGACCCCTCAGAGCTGGTCATCTCCCAAACTTTTGTTTTAAAGTCACCTTTGAACTGTAGGACACACATGTGGGTTACATTAACATGCCTTCTTTATATACACTTTTCTTTTTTTACATAACCAATACCAACACCGTAATGGCTATGAACCATTCTTTCTAACTTTTTGAATGTTTGGCTCTCCAGCTTCCAGGTCAGGCCTAACATCCAAGCACTCAATCTACACTGACAGGTGCTGAACCTGAGTGCACAGAGGGAAGTTTTAAAACAAAATTAAGTTGCCTCCAGTTACTTCAGTCCCATCACATACCCACTTTCCAAAGCCGAGGAAGACAGCTCAGCACGTAGAGTGCCTGTTGTACAAGCATGAAGAGCTGAGTTTGGGTTCCCAGCACCCACATAAAACCCTGGCACAGCCGCACAGGACTACAGCCCCAGTGCTAGGGAAGGAAAAGAAACAAAGACAGGAGGATCATGTGGTCTTGCTGGCCAGCCAGCCTAGCTAGCCTAAAAAAATAAAGATGAGTTCCAAGTTCAGTGAGGCTTTGTAGTAAAGGGTAAGGCAGGGTGTGGAACATCCAACACCCTTCTCTGGCTTCTGCACACAGGGAGGGGCACATGTATGCATAAGCATAACATACACACACATGCACAAATACATGTACACCACACATAATAAACCACTTTGTCCATGTCCTCACTCATAAACATGCAAAATTGTGACCTTGGTGTATAGATACACAGCTTGTTTTCCTTTTTATCATATGTTCATATTTTTTTTTAGATTTATGTATTTTGATTTAGACTTATGTATGGGTGTTTGCCTCTGTGTGTGTATGTGCGCACACGCATGCACGCACATGCATGTCCAAGGAGTTCAAAAAACAATGGCTCCAAAAAACAATGGCTCCCCTGGAGCAGGAGTTACTGATGGTTGTAAGTCACCATGTGAGTTCTAGGACCTGTACCCAGGTCCTCTGCAAGAGTAGCAGATGCTCTTAACCACTGAGCCATCTCTCTAGTCCTTGTCATGAGTTTACTGCTTCATTTATCTGTATAAAATTTACTCTCTGTGGCACAAAATACTTCTGACATCATAGTGGGGACAATCAAGATATAGTTAGAAAAGTGATGTCTAAAAGTTATAGTTTGTATAGTTTCAAGGATTAGCTACCTGACTGGTCCTAGGAATGGAAACTGCTAGAATACAGATAAATATACAACAGAAAAAGCACCTTAAACTGTGGTGATGCCCTTTTTCAATAAATACCAAGCACAGCCCTTTGTGAGGGACAGGCGCAACACATCAGAAAGACAGATCTGACACACGCAACAGACCAGAGGGCAGACAGGCCAGTGGTCACAAACTACAGGCGGAAGGAGGGAGAATTCAAGTTTGGGTTCACACTTGGTCAAGAAAGTAACAAGCAAGCAGGGTCTGGAGGTGACTGGAGCCATATCCACTCTCTCCAGAAGCTTCTTTACTCTGTAGACATTGTAACCTTCCTACTGCGAAGGAATCCAAGTACTTTAACAGCAAGATGGATGTCGAGACAGGTTTAAAAATAAAAATGAGGAATAGGAGATGTTGAGTTTTACAGGCAACAGGAGAGCTCTCCTGGAGGAACAGCCTGCTGCTCCAGTGCCTATGCAAGTGCTCTGAGTGGGCCGGGGAGCAGTAGCCTGTGAGGCTCCTACAGAAATGCTTCTGTCCACAGCACTTCAGCTACAGACCTACGTGGAGTACTTACAGGACGTTTCCAGATTACTTAAGCCAGTTTAGCGCTTGAAACCCATAGATAGTTTTTCTGTTTGCTTGGGTACATTTGTGCACATCAAAAATAGAGAGTGAACTTGGTTAATTCAGGCAGTTTGCTTGGTAAAGCAAGTTAGGATCACCAAATCCTCTGTCAACTGACTAGACACCTATCCACCCCGACCCCCCCCACACACACACTTGAGGCATAACAGGGGAGAGTACCTCTGTCCTCACATTATTTACTCACTATTACTTTTTGTAAAATTGATCACCGAAAGGAAAATAAAGTATGAAGTATGAATGTTAGCCCTGAGCTCCTGTTTTAAGTACCTGTGTGTCTGGGCACGTGTATGAGTGCAGGTGCACACGCACAAGTCAGTTCTCAGCTCCCACCTTATCTGAGGCAGAGTCCTGCTTGCCGCTGCATAGACCAGGCTGGTCCAGCCCCTTGGGCTCCCTGTCTCTGGCTCCTATTCTGTAGATGTGAGTTACCACATCTGGCTGTTATATGTGGGTGCTGGGGTCCCTACTCAGGCCCTCCCACTTGCACAGTGAACATCTCACCACTGAACCCATGCTATTTGAACACATTTCTTCTAAGCTTACATTAACGCCAGCTGAATTTGTAACTTCACACCCCTAACCTGGTACTCCATACCTCTAGAAACTTAACCATAGAGGGGAAACAACTAGGAAGTCCACCCCTGTACTCTCCCAAAGTAAGGTCACCATATAAGCCTTCAGAAATGCCACATGCCATCTTAAACCTTCTAGCAGAAGATGAGCAGGCTTACAAAGTGTCAGTTGCCTGTACAGGAAAGCAGTATGTCACAGTATGGATAAGAAGCTATTTCCCCTGAACACGCCTGAAATTAAAAATCCAAAAGCTTAATTTTTTTTTATCAACTTGACAATCCATACACTTATAGGAAAAATAGGTGATTATTTTTAATGATTTATGTATAAAAAGAAAAATAAAACTTTATGGTACAATCTGATAGACTACAGCATATAAAATTTACTCACACACAATGTATGTAATTCTTGCAACATAAAAATTCTATTCATATATACAAATTCATAAAAGGAGATATATATATATATGTATGTATGTATGTATATATGTATGTTAACTTGGGCTACATAGGGTCCACTTAGGGTTATGGCTAAGTCATTCACTTCAGTAGAAAAGAGATTATAAACATACAAAAGACTAGTTGACTACAAGCCTCCTTTTTTCCCCATCCCCCTCAGAAGCATCTGGGTGGGAGGGGAGTGTGGTGCGCTTCAGCCAAGAGAAGCCAGGGGGACCCCGGCTGAAGGGGTCCCCACACTGTTGTGACAGCTGAGAACTGGGCTGCTGCCTTTAATTGACTGAGAAACACTAGCTGTGCCATGTGTGCAAGCCTTTAGGAAACAAAATGTGCTCAGGCAGTCTTCACACTTACCAGGGTTTGCCTTAGTGAACATAATAAATACTCAGAAACATGAGGACCATCTCAGACCTTAAGCCAGCAAGAACATCTCCAAAGACAGTGAGATCCTTTAGACAATAATTCAAGACCCTAATAAGTATTTACAGTATTTTACGTAGATGAAAACTGAATATAAACCATAAAAACTATGCTTTTAAAAAAGGACCTTTAAAAAAGGAAAACAAATACAAACTATAAATTGGTGTGCTCTCTTTCTTCTGGTCCCCGTCACTCCCAGCTCTCGGTGCACACACCTACATAGAGGAAAAGGACTGTGCTGTGTGTGCTTCATGCTACACGGTCTTAGGAGACTTGGGGAACTGCTTATCCATCAGAAGGATCCTGGAAACTAATGGAAGCCAAGATGGTAACCAGCGACAGTTTCCCATCAGACAGCGCCCAAGAAGGCCAGACTGAATTCTTTTTCAGAGTATGAACTGATGGAAATGCACACAGCAGGACCATGAGGGGACTGCAGAAAGATGCATGCGCAGCAGTAGGGCGGCCACCCTGCACAGGTAACAGGCACCTTTCAAAGACACAGCGGGCTGAAATGTCCCTTTCAGGTAGAAATGAAAATTAATCATTTGAGGCCTTGTTTTCTTTCTTTTTGTAAAGCACACACCAAAAAGTCCACAGCCACCCTTTGCTCAGTGCTGGTAGAAGTCCTTCTGGGAGACTCAGAAGCGAAATGAAGACCGTAGTTTACCTGGTAGCATGACATAACTTACCTGGTAGAAACTTTGGGCACAGGGTTAAACAGGCCGCAGCAGAAAACAGTATTTGCCAAAAACACAGAGGAATAAGCCCTCCCACAAAGGCAAGCTGAAGACTAAAGTAGCAAGTACTGCAGCTGGAAGAGGGTAAGAAAACACATCCTTTTAATAAGTTTAGCGCCTAAACCGAAAGCTCTGACTTTAGCTGGTTCCAGGCATCTGCAGGCCATTTTTCTCAGCAGACTAGGGCTCAACGTGTCGGTTTCCTGCCCCTTCTCCCATCATGAGGAAGACGGCTCCATCTCCGCGGGGCTAGCCATTCACCTTCGTGATGTCAGGTTGATACTGTGTACCATTTTCTGGATCTTCTCCTCGTTCTTCAGGATGTTGGCCTTCACAGCACAGATCTTGTCCTGCTGGTCTCTGATCTGCTGCTCCAGCTCGGACAGCTCTGCCTTCAAGGGCTCCACTGCACTGTCTGTGATGCTGGTGGGAGACAACCAGTGGCTCGTCAGTGTCCTGAGGGTTCTGTCTGGGCCTCTCCTTCCAGCCCGAAAGCCAGCAGCAGCAAAGGACAGGCTTCACCCCGAGAAAAGGGTTAAGTGCCAGACCCCAGGCACCACTCTCAACCTCGGGCTTGATTGCAGACCTATGGCACAATCAAGCCTGAGCATGCCAATCACTTGTTTGCTTCCCCAGAACCAGGGAGAGAGCCGGGCCTTTACACATGCCAGGCATGCACTCTACCACAGGGCTGTTTCCCTAGCTTCTATTTCCTCAGTGACTAGCTTGAAGTCCCTAGCGTTTACACACACACACACACACACACACACAGACAAGGGGCAGCAGGAAAGTGGGCTACCAAGTCCCCACAGACACTGGACTCAGCCTGGACCAGCCAGGCAACACCTCTCCTCTGGATAAGCCTCACAGGGGTTAGAGGGACTCCCTCTGCCCATGTCCCATTTGTTCAGCAGGGACAGGTGACCTCTGCACTGTTGGGCAGAGCACTGGAAGGAGCACAGAATATACCTCAGAATGCTGGGGTCATCGTAACCTTCCCGTCAGGCTTAAAGCCTGCAGATAGACAGTAAACACAACACCAAGAGCCAGGCCCGCCCTTTGCTGCATAGTGCAGGGTCAGGGTTTACCAGGGAGGCTCTTTGGGCTGACACTTCCCAACATTTTAAGTCCAAACTGATGAAGTGCTACCCATCACTGTTGCAATCTGCACTAACAGTCTCAGTGATTTTTCCAGATTCCATCATGTTACATTTTTAAAAATTATGGGACTAAACATAATAGTAAGAAAGAGTCCCATGTAAAGCAGTCAGCCCTAAAACCATATGCACACAACAAAAACAGATGTAGGTGTGTTTGGGCACACAGACTTTTTTAAAATTTATTTATGTATTGTGTATACATTGTTCTGCCTGCCTGTATGCCTTCAGGCCAGAAGAGGGCACGAGATCTCATTACAGCTGTTTGTGAGCCACCATGTGGTTGCTGGGAATTGAACTCAGGACCTCTTGAAGAGCAGCCAGCACTCTTAACCTCTGAGCCATCTCTCCAGCCCCAGACATACATATTTAATCAAAAAACAAAAGGCTAGCAGTTTGAGAGTGGGGTCATCAGAGGGCTTGGAGGGATACCTAGGAGAAGCTGGAGGAAGGGAAGCAGGAAAAGTGATGTAATTCTACTAGGAAATTAATTTTTAAAAATTGAAAAAAGAAAAGACAGTGCATTTCAGTTTGGTGTGGTGGCCCTCTTTAATCACAGTGCCCAGGAGGCAGGTGATCTCTGTGAGTTCAAGGCCAGTCTGGTCTACATAGTGAATTTCAGGCCATCCATGCTACCCTGTGAGACCTTGTGGGGGGAGGGAGGGAGGGAGGGAGGGAGGGAGGGAGGGAGGGAGGGAGGGAGGGAGGGAGGGAGGGAGGAAGGGAGGCAGGCAGGGGAACCAATTCTAATTCTCAGCTTTTCTGTCACATGGACTTACAGATGTGTCACTCAGTCAAATCGTATTAACAGTCACATGCTTCTAGATTTACTGATTACAAACACAGGGCATCTTTCTAAATACATGTCCTCTAAATAAAACCGTTATCTAAATAAACCTCACTTCTCAGTGTCTAGTCTATTTCTTTCTGTTACAATTTTGAATGAGTCCATCAGTATCTCATTCAGATCCCCCACTTCTCCCCTCTGCAGCCCCCACCCCCTTCTACAGCCCCCTCCCCCTCCCCTTCTGCAGTCCCCTCCCCCTCCCCTACTACAGCCCCTGCTCCCCCTCCCCCTTCTGCAGCCCCTGCTCCCCCTCCCCCTCCCCCTTCTGCAGCCCCCTCCCCTTCTGCAGTCCCCTCCCCCTCCCCTTCTGCAGTCCCCTCCCCCTCCCCTACTACAGCCCCTGCTCCCCCTCCCCCTTCTACAGCCCCCTCCCCCTCCCCTTCTGCAGTCCCCTCCCCCTCCCCCTTCTGCAGCCCCTCTCCCCCTCCCCTTCTACATCCCCTATTCCCCCTCCCCCTTCTGCAGCCCCCACCCCTTCTACAGCCCCCTCCCCTTCTGCAGCCCCACTTCCCCTCCCCCTTCTGCAGCCCCCTCCCCCTTCTGCAGCCCCCCACCCCTTCTACAGCCCCTGCTCCCCCTCCCCCTTCTGCACCCCCTCCCCCTTCTGCACCCCCCTCCCCCTTCTGCAGCCCCCACCTCTGCTCCTTGCTCAGGGCCTCAGCATGCTGTCTGTTCTCACTGTGCCACAGCTGCAGCTCGTTCTGCATGGCATCCACGTCCTCCTGGATGTAGTCCATGATCTTTCCCAGGGGAAGCGCACTCTTACACAGGGTCTGGATGGACATGCGGAGCTTCTCTATCTCCTTGGAAACGATGTCCTTCTCCTTCTTCCACGCTGACTCAAAGATGAGCAAGCGCTCCTTCAATCAGGGCAAGGAGGAAGAGAAAGTCTTTAGGAGTGAGCCAGGTACGTGAGAGGCAGCACCCCAAGCAGGCCCCACAAGAGGAAAGCCTGATGAACTGAACTTAGCAAAAACTAAAATGTTTATTCTTCAGAGTCCCCAAGAAGCTGAAAGGACAAGCAAGAGCAAACAGTTGCAAATCACACATTGCTTAGAAGACATGTACAGTCAGTAAAACACAGAGAGCTCAAAACTCAGTGGCAGCAGGCACGCAGACCAATCTGAAGAGGGACAAGAGACACAGAGATATTTCACTGAAGGTGACACAAGCTCACGCAAGAGTGTCCAAGAGCGCCAGCAGCTCTAGTGCAACTTAGACAGCAATGCCTTGGGACAGGCAGAAGAAACTGGGTCTCTGGTAATTGCCGGAGCAGCTTGAGGTGTCTTTAAAGACTGTCCAAGTCTATAGCTTGAATCTACAAGTGTCTGCTGAAGGCTTGGGCATTATGAAGGGGCTTTGAGAGGTGACTGGGTAACGGGGTCTCTCCTCACCCTTGAGAACTCCTCACTGAAGGGCTGTTACACGGTGGGGCCTAGCTGGAGAAAGCTGTCACTGGGAGCTATCTTTGAGGGTGCTTCTTGCCCCTGCCCTCTCCACTTCCCCTGCTCCCCAGCTGCATGGGTGAGCAGCGGTATTCCGCTGTCAGTACACCCTCTCCCACCATGATGCTCAGCCTCGCCCAGAGCACTGGAGCTGACTAAGCACAGATAGAAACCCCAGAAGCTTCGAACCAAAACACAACTTTCTCCCTTGAAGTTGTTTTCCTCAGGTACTCTATTATAATAACAGAAATCCAGCAAAGGAACATCCAACCGTTTATTCAGAAAAGTTAAAACTCACATTCACACAAAAATCTATATATATATAAATGTTGACATTTTATTCAAACTAGTTATAAGCTGGACATGGTGGCAGGTGCTTGCAAATCTAGCACTTGGAAGGTGGAGTCAGGAGGATCAGAAGTTCAAGATTACCCTCAGCTACATAGCCAGCTTGAGGCTGGCTTGAGATCTGTCTCAATAAAAATAAAGGAAAAAGCAAAAAGTTGTCACAGCTAGAAATAGCCAAAATATGTTAAATAAACTGTGGTATATCTATACCTAGGAAGACCATACAGCAACAAACACACACAACCACCTGGACAACTCTTGGAGAATTACTCCAAATGAAGAAAACTCTGCTGGGCTATAAACTGAACCCTCGTACACACACAAGCTTGACAGGACAGAACTACAGAAATGGAGGGCACACTAGTGATGGCAGGGCTACAGGTGGGAGAGCAGAGTTCAGGCTACAGGAGAACACTGAGGAGGATCTTGTGACAGGAATGTTCTGGAGCTTGACTGCTAGTGTTGGCAACTTGGGTGTGGGAGAACACCATAGATGAGCTAGGAAGGCTTTGGAGCACACCTCCAGTGCTTCAGAGGGACCCACAGTTACCCCAAAATAAAATGCTTTTAAGAGAGATGGGAAAGCCAGGCATGGTGGCGCACACTTGTGACAGGCACGTGGGACCTGTTGGCCAGGTTGGCGAGACACCTTGTCTCAAAAGACAAGGCAGACTGGAGCTGGACAGGTGGCTCCATGGTTAAAAGCACGGATTCTTCTTTCAGGGACCCAGATGTGACTCCCAGCACCCACATGGCAGCTCACAATACCTAATCTCAGTTCCACAGGGCCCAGCTCCCTCTTCTGGCTTCTGTAGGCACACACATGGTACACCAACATATATCAAGGCAAAACACCCATATACATTAAACAAACAAACAAAAAATGGTAAGGTGGACAGTACCTGAAAAACACATGATACCTGAGGTCCTCTAACCTCTACACGTACTTGTACAGACAGGGCACATATACATGCATACACACACATACATTTGAGGGAGTGACTGATTACATAAAACCCTTTGAACTAAAATGCTAACGACTAAAAGGAGTAACAAACTACGTCTGGGGGAAATGAGCTCTATCATATATAAATCAGTAGGCCTCTCTATGTCTACTGTTGTAGAAGCTGAGCAAATGTGGGATAGCCACACAAACCCATAGCACCACTATGTCCAGCAGAAAGCAGAGAGCCAAGCCTGGCACAAACCACCAAGACGCTGGGATGGCAGAAAGCGAAGTGCCCTGTACAGTGGGCAGGGGCAGGTCCCCTCCGAGGCAGGGGTCCAGATGGACTGAGAGTGGCGACAGAGTCACTGGGAAGGAACACACTGGCAGGCTGCTTGCGCCCAGGGAAGGCAGAGGGCTGGACACAGGGAGTTGTCATAGATGGGACATGGAAAATATAATGAGGACTCTGGCTTGATCCTGACTGGTAACAGCCACGGAAGGGACGTGAGTGTCAAAGAATGTTAATTACATCAAAGTTTAAAAGCCATTTGACTCAGACTTCAGGAAAGGGAAGCAGCCTAAAGGACAACTGTCCAGCAATGCAATGGGAAGGCAGGGGCTGGGGTTGTCTGTCTTTGGTTGATTGGTCCACATTTTGCTTTGTTTTGTTTTGGGATGGGGTCTCAACTGGCCTCAAACTTGCTGTGTAGCCCAGGACATTCTTGAACTTCTGACCCTCCTTTCTCCAACTCCTGAGTGCTGGGATGACAGGACTCTACCACCAAACATAGCTTAGGAGAGTGTTTCACTCATAATTTTTTAAGTAGAAGTCTTTCGTTCCATCATTGAAACCCCACAGATCAGCCTTACACTCCAGGATTCGGTTTCCGCAACTAGATCTTACCAGCCAGCCTCTGCACTGGTCCTTTCCAGAAACACAGGTACCATCCATCCCATCCCACCACCCCTGCCCACCATAGCCCTGTTTTTAACTTCTGCAACTTGTGTTCTGAAACAATGTCAGCATCATTTTCAACCAGAAACAACCGAGCTTTGTAGACCTCAGACACTCAACAGGTATCACCCGTGCCCGCCTGAAGCCCGCACGTGTATTTTTGAGGCGCCCATTCTCCTGAATGACAATGCTGATGAGGTGCGAACCAAAGGCCACGTGACAGTGTGATCAAGTTCTGTGCACAAGCACAGACTTAAGGACAAAAATCGCCTTATTTCCTTAAAAGACAAACCCAAATTCCTCTTCCTTGAACTTTTGTGAAAGAAACCAATCCTGGTGATACTAATCCTAATAATAATAATAATAATAGTTACTATTGTTTATTATGTTACATAATAATAGTTACTATTATTATTGTATTATATAATAATTAGTATTAGATTATACAATAATAGCTATTATTGCTATTAAGGTCATTGAGGAAATAGCACTGAGTATGTCCCCACAATGTCCCTAAGAAATCAACTCAAACAAAACAATAACTACAGGGAAACTACGCCAAAATAAAAACCCTTGTGTCTGGAACCCAGCATCAGAAGGGCTTTCTTTAGAACAGCTCCCTGAAAGGGTTGACCCGATGCTGATAACACCACGCCATCTGGTGGCCATGTAAGAAACTGAGGACCAACCAAGCTCACCAAGTAAGAAACCAAACCCCCTCACAGAGGACTCAGTTAAATAGCACTCGCTGCACACTGTTCACCTTAATTAAAATATAACATGGGAAGGTTATTTTGTTCATTAAGAGGCATTCGAAGATACAACAGGTTTTTACATTTCCTAAGAAATTCTTTTTCCTACTGTGACTCAAAAAGCTGGCTGGCCTCCAGCTCCTGGGATTACAGGAGTGGTGCACCACCATGCTCCGTTTTAAATGCTTCTCTGTGACGCTACCCATAATTCCTTGACAGCTGCTACAGGTCACAGGTGACGGACACCCAGTTCCCAGTGGACACCAGCAGAACCTGATTCACAGGAGCAGAGACTTTACAGCAACCCAGAGAGGACAGAATGTTCCAGTAGCCACCTCTGAACAGGAGGACAAAGCGCACAGCATTCACATCTGACCAGAGCAACTGGAAATGAAGAGGAGCCAAGAGGCAGCAACGGAAAAAGGACTGAAGGCCTCCAGGGAGAAATAGCCCAAGGCTTCAGCAGCAAACCCGTGACTGCCCGGCCCACATCTCTGACAGTGCCTTCACCTATCAAGCTTTAGGAAGCAAGACCTTTCGGAGGGAAGGGACATTAGAAAAACTGAATTTCTGGCTGTTTTTCAAGACCTTCCCATGAACTTGAATTAAGGGAAAAAATGCTGGCAGGAGTAGTAACACCAGTGTACAGCCTCTTGAAGAGCAAGCATGCAACTGGGAAAATGCATAAAGCATTTAATACAATAAATAAATACAATAATACAGTAAATATGATGTGTGCATTTATTCTATAACATGTTGTTCGAGTCCATTAGCACAGCAAGAAATCTCTTTCCTTCCAGGGAACTTCAAAGACAGCCTGGAGGGATACCCAGATTAGAAATAATGTATTTCCTTAGCATAAAAAACAAAACAAAACCAAAAAAAAAAAACCAAATGTCCCTCCAAAAAAGAAGTGCCACCAGGACAAAAGGCATGTTTGATTCATGCACCTGGGCCAGAACCACTTACTTAAACACGTAGATGAAGGATAGGGAGGAGGGAAGAACACGAGAGCTGGCAGCAGACAGCCGCCTTGATGGAGCTGGGTGAGACGTACATTTGCCTCTGGAGCATACAAGGTGCCCAGAATCCTGTACCCAAGGAGGTCAGAGAGTAGACACACTTTTGCATTCATTGTGAAATTCATTGTGAAATACTGACTAAAAAAAAAAAAAAAAAAAAAAAACTCTCACAGATTAGCTACCAAGACAGACTCATCAATTCCTAAAAAGTGACTGCTATTACAGCACAAATTGTTGATAAAAAAGATGTTAGAAACCTTTGCTTGAAAGGTAAAAGGAGCCACTTAAGAACCCACACATCTCCCAGTGCACAGATCTCAAAAGTAAGAGAGCATTTACTTTGCAACATAAGTTTGACACAAAGGAGCTGAAATGTCAGCACAGGGCTGGGAAAAGGATTTACTCAGTTGGTAAGGCGCCTACTGCATGCCCACCAGGTCCTGAGTTCAGTCCCAGCACCCAGGGCAGCACAGGCTGCTGCTACCAAAGCTGGGAAGGTGGAGGCAGGAGAGTTCCTAGGACTTGCTGGCAATCCAGTCCAGTGGAGCAGCGAGTTCTAGGTTCAGTGAGAGACAAAAAAAAAAAAAAAAAAAAAAGGTGAAGAGCAACTACGGACACCCCACGATGACCTTTGGCCTCCACATCACTCACCCACCAAACACACATACACACACTCTTCAGGATAAGGTATCCTGAAAAGGAAATGTACAATCTCTTATCTGTTTACCTTTTAACATGCATGGAATTTTGTGTATATGTAATGGATATGCATGCATGTGTCCAGGTACACATTCCAGTGCAGGGGTGCCCTTGGAGGCCAGAGGAAAATGTCAGGTGGCCTCTTCTATCACTTTCCAACTTGTTCCTTTTGAGATAAGGTCTCTCCCTGAACCTGGCCTCATGGTTTTTGTTTTGTTTTGCTAAGCTGACAGCCAGCAAGCCCCAGTGATCCCCGTGACCACCTCTCGCTACAGTTTGTGTGGAATTCAAACTCCAGTCCTCGTGTCTGCACAGAAAGGCCTTTTAACCACCAAGCCATCTTTGCAGCCTGATTTACTTGATACATGATAAATAGATAGATAGATAGACAGATAGACAGACAGACAGACAGACAGACAGACAATAGACTGACAGACGGCAAGTTGCTATCTAAGCAGTAGAAAAACTAAATATCCAAGCTATCCAGAAGAAAAAGGAAGTTGGTATGGCAACAGAGGTCCCTGCCAAACTGAAAGCAGTCCAGGGTCCAGGATCGTGCAAATCCCCTCATGGAAGATGAAGACAGCTCAGCTACGCAGAGGAGGCCTGGAACTGTGGGCAGATCCCTGAAGTCAGAGAGCCCTACTTCATAACAACCTGGAAAGCATGGCGAATAAACAGTTCCCCGGGGAACGTCATGGAAGTGACAGCTGGAGGACCCTGCTTCTCATCCCGCTTTGTGCGCAGCTTCCTGCCACACATGCCCACAGGTGAGAGACCACCTTGGCCGAGCGAGGCAGCTCCCTCCCCTGACCCTGGACCTGCCAAAACTTCAGCCTAAGAACTGTGCCCAAGCTCTAAGGGTGATAGAATCTGACTGCACTTAATAACTAGGCCAACAGAGGCCAAAATAGTCTATAGTGTTCCACGTGACAGTTATAGACAATCTAAGTGGCAACCCAACTTCCAGTAAGTGTGGGAAAGTGGAGGGCATGCCCTCTCCCTACTTTCTTGCAGGCTGGAACGCAGTCGTGGGGGCGTGAGTGGGGGCGGCCATCGTATCCCATGGGACCTGAAGTTAGGCAAGTAGAAGTGTGAAGCAGGGCATTCAGGCCACTGCCAGCTGGCTTTCAGCCACCAGACGCTGACATCCTGAATAAAACCCTCCTGACCTCACCGAAGTTATGGTTATTTCAAAATTAAGAGGAAATATAAAAATGTTGCAACTATTAAAGACATTGACAGTAAATGAAAAAGCTTTGAGAGAATAAAAAAAGACGTCAGAGTCCACAGGGGACATTCTCATTCAAGCCACCAAAACCCAGTCCAGGCATTTAGTGCTCCATCCTCTTACTAATGTGACTTAGCCCTTCTTTTGTGGGAGCTTCCATGTGTTGGCCTCTAACCTTGCTGGAGGTTGATGGCAGACAGGACCTATAGATATTGTAACAGTTTAACAATAACAATAACAAAAACCCACATCAATAGAAAATTATCCTGGGAGCCACACACACACACAGAACTCAGAGTAAGAACCAAGCCTGAAAACCCCTGGCTCTTAATTTGCAATGACCCAGGTCAATGGCCAGCCTGTCCACTCTTCACAACTGCCAGGGAGAATGAGCAGGCAAGGCCGGAAGAGAGGCTGTGGAACGGAGGTAGAACAGCCTCCCATACAGCCGCTGCCTCACTCAACAGCTGGGCGGTCCAGTCCGGAGCAGCACCCCACAGACAGAGCCCCTCACAGTCAGCTGTGAGGGGAATGGCATCTAAGCACGTCAACAAGATTACTGATTTTGAATATCACTGAAGGTCATAACATCTAAAGGGTTTTTCAAATGCCCGAGTTAGCTCTTACCCTCTCGCCTGGCTTGGCAGATTGCTGCAATTTCTCATAATCCTTCTTCGTCTCCAAGATCTTTTTCACAAGCCCACCTGTCAAAAATCAGGAGCTTTCAGTTAAAGCTTATTTTCTATCCTAAGAAGATACTTATTATTCTTAGACCTCATTGAGAAGGTGGGCAAAATGCTGAATTCCCGTCCTTTCTCTTTCCATATCGAAACACCTTCCGTTCACGTGCTAAGAGAGAACACAGTGCCACTTGCTGCTGGCAGAGGCTAATCACAAAGTGTCACAGAGAGGAGTCTTAGAAATAAACAGATTTTTTTCCTTCTTCTATAGTTAGGAAGAAACGTGGATTAACACCCGAAAATGTAACCACCCACTGCAAACAGAGGATTCTAATGGTTCCTCAGTGCTGATGTTTCTTTTAGATTAGGCAAGAATACTAAATTTCTTTTAGAATTCTCCCTGGTGTGAATAGCTTAGGAAAAATCATTTTCTTAAAAGCACTGTTTTACAGTGCTGCCCAGGCCGCTGGGGCAGTGTAATTAACGGTAGAAAACCCTGTGAAATATAGTAATGAGCCGTGAGGCATGATACCCACGGGCAAACAGTGGCATAAAGGTTATGGAGGTAACCAGCCACTTTCTGGTTGAATTTAAGACCTACCCCACAGAAGGAAACTCAAACAAAGTACTGTAAATCTGGCTAAGATCCAACGGTTAGGGAGCCCACCAGCCCCAGGAGAGAATTTCTTCTATTCTGCTAAATGGACATAGCATCAAATTATCCTCTAAATGTGTATCTCTACCCACAATTAGTGCAGCCCTCAGACCTCATCGAGAAGTTTCTTGTGCAGTAGATGGTAGTTAATGCATAAACTCACAACTGATCAAAATACATTTCATAAAATTCTCAAAGAATTAATAAAATATTATACTTAAAAGTGGTTTTGTTTGTTTGTTTTTAGTTTTGTTTGTTTCTTTATTTTTTGCTGGGTTTTTTTTCCAGGGCAGTGGTGGCACACGCCTTTAATCTCAGCACTCTCGAGGCAAAGGCAGGTGGATCTCAAGTGAGTATGAGGCCAGCCTGGTCTACAAATTGATTTCCTGGACACCCAGGCTGTTATTCAGGGAAACCCTGTGTCAAACAACAAAAGTATTTTTTATCCAAATATTCCTCAATGAGACTGACAGCCACATGGCATCCAACAGACCACTAGGAAGAGAAGCTAAAACTGTGCCCCTGTGCTGGAATAAAAGCCAGCAGACTATCAAGTTCACACTCACACACACTTTTACACACACACTCACACACATGCATTTTTAAATGGAAATATCACTATTTTTACCTGCACCTATGGAGAAGGGAGAGTACAGGGAGAAAGAACAAGGTCTAAAGTCTTACACCTCAGCACTGGGTGGGATGGTGTACATTTACAATCTCAGCATTCATGAGCAGGCAGGAGGATGGTCAAAAGTGGTCTCCACAGTGAGTTCTAGGCCAGCCAGAGCCACACAAGTGAGACCTTGCCTCAAACAACAACAAAAAACAAACAACAAACTTCCACCTCTTAATGAGCTCGGCTGTGTACATTCCTTAAAGCCCCAGGAATATTTTATATGAAGAGGTGGGCATGGTGGCACATGCTTATAATTCTAGCATTTAGGGGCTAAGGCGGGAGGATGAGTTCCAGGAAGCCTGGGCTACAAAGCAAAGTCTATAAGGCAAATTATGTGTGTGTGTGTGTGTATATGTATACAGGCATACCGACACAGCAGGGTGCCACTGTGACCAGAGCCTATCCTAACCTCAGGTCCTGTGGTTCCCTACAGGTCCATATGGTGGCAGCAACAGTGCCCCTCCTAGGGCACAGCTAGGCACCAGATGGCCACTCGGATCTCTTCGAGCACTCACAGATACCCCACATCCACGTGGACTCGTGGACACTCACCATGCTTCTCCTCGTCCTCCAGGTCCCCTGCCGGCACCTGGGCAGAAAAGGAAAAAGATCAGCTTATGCTGAATTTTCAAAGTCATTAAACAAACAAACAAACTAAAATGAAAACTAAAGACATGAGACAGAAATAACAGAAAAATTAGGGGGGAAAACCTCTATCACATAAATTGAAAAGCGGAAGTACTAATTTCTAAATACGTTTACCAAGAACAGGACCCTGTGGTGAACTAACCATCTCAATTTCTGACATTTCTGAGAGCTGAGGGGCGGCTTCCACCACAAACTGCTCATCATCCTCATTGTCCGAATTCTGTGAGTCGATGATCACATTGGAGACAGTTTTACCACTTCCGGACCTGAGCAAAGAGAGAGCCATTTACACAGGGAGCAGCCCATGGGTCACCAGTTGTCATCAGCCCCAGGCACCTTGAAGCATCACGTTTATCTGAAAGAAGCCAGACTGCCATTGCCCCAGACAGGTGAAGGGAGACCTCAGGGACAGTGGGGACAGAGAGACCACCACCTTTCACTACCCCAAAGCCTCCATCCTGCCAAGAGCTATAGGCCACCCCAGCCCTCTAGTTCAGCCCTGCTGGTCCATCTGCTCCAAAACGGCTCCTGGGACTCCCTTTGCCCTGACATTCATCCTAAGATAGACCCAGACCTCGCCTCATCACAGGGCAGCTCCTCTAGGCCCAGCCACCATATTCATTACCTCTTGGGTATGTTCAGCTATGGGGTACCCTTTTGTTTCTAACTTTTGTGCAATTAAGCTTTTACCTCTGCCTTTTTATGCTTTGAAAGTCTTCTATCTAGAGGTCAGAGAAACCCACCACGGGCCCATGCATTGTGAGGTATCATGAACATGAACACACATACTTCTCCCTTTTGCCAGTCTGCAATGCACGCTGCTCTGTGGCTTTAAAGCAATGGCCTAACCCCACCTTTCTTCAAAATCAACTTTTCCCCAGCATTACCTCCTACGCCCACACCCAGCCTCTCAGCACCCCCGGCCCCCGGCCCCCACACTAGAGAATGCGGCCCAGCCCTCTGAGCCTCCAGGCCCGGCAGCCTTACCTGTCACCCACCAACGCCTCAGTGCTTTCTTGTCGCTTGACCCTGGGAGGTGCTGGCCTCGCACTCCCAGGCCGAGGTATTCTTCTAAGTAAGTACCGGAAGAAAAAAAATAGGACATGACACACACACACACACATTTCAAAGTGGACAAAATAAAAGCCTAGGCCAGCATTAATGCTCATCCCAATGCCACCATCAGCGTGACAGTCAGGCACACTCTGCAGAGGACTGTGAACATCCATTACCGCAGCACAACTGCCATTCATCAGAGCATGAGCAACCTTTGACATTAAGAGAGACTTCCCCCAAACTGCTATAATGCTCCAAAGGTGGCCATGTGACTCAGAACAAGAAAACTGTACGAGTAGTTTTCACTTAGTGTGTACAGATATAACTGTGACATTGCACAGGTGCCGAGTGAGCAGCAGAAGCTGTGGCAGGAAGTACCACAGCTTGTCCTAGGAGTGGCCACACTCCCGAGCACTGGGGAAGGACACACCTGAGACTGGAGGAAAGTTCACTGGGGACTTCTGCATTCTCTGACACCTCAGGCTTTTCTTGCCCAGTAGGCCCAGCTTCTCCTTCTGAACAGGTGACAATCCCATCAGCAATTCAAAAAGAAGTCAACAGTAACAAAAAATAAATTTAGTCAAACATACATACCAACTAATTCAAATATAAGTATTTGAAAAGGCATCAATCAAACGATTGAAAATTTCAGCGAACGCTTTTCATCCAAACAGAAGAGATCTGACATCTAAATGTGGACACTTGGGGACATGGGCACATTAACTCTGTTAATGCAAACTGGCCAACTAATCAAGGAATTAAGTTGAAGGGGTGGATGGACCCAGTCAACAACTTAACACAAATGAACCAAATCTAAGGAAAGGAAGAGCACACCTCAACAGACAGGGGTGTCAATCACTCAGCAAAGTACAGCCCACTCAACTCCTCATTCTAACAGCTAATTAATGACAGTGCAGTGACAGGCATCAGTCACACTCACACATGTGGGTCTTAGAAGTGTGTGTGGCAGTCATCAAATGCCTTTCATCTTGTTACACTGGTCTGCATTTCTAAATTATCTACAGTGGGTGGTATATTCTTTTCATAGTCAGAAAGTAGTTTTGTTTCTGTTTTTGTTTAGGAGACAGACTAAAGTCTTGCTATGTAGCCCTGAAGGGCCTGGATCTCTCTCTATAGACTAGGATGACCTCAAACTCATGGAGGTCTACCCGCCTCTGCCTCCTGAGTGCTGAGATAAAAAACATGTAAGACCACCTCGCTAAAACACAGTTTTTTCATTCTAATAAAAAGATTAAGCCTGCAAGTCACAAGTCCAAACTACTAAGACAGTGGGATTTGTTCTACTATTTAAAGTAAAAGAAATGTACTTTAGAAAACCGTAAAGATAAATTAGAATTTGAACATCGGAAATAAATGTGATACTCTGGAAAGAGCCCTGAAACATGGGCTTTTCAAGATAAAACACAAACAGGAAGAGGCAGGCGGAGCTCTGTGAGTTCTGCCTGGTCTACAGAGCAAGTTCCAGGACCAGAGCCACACAGAGAAACCCTGTCTCAAAAAACCAAAAGGAAAAGAAAGAAAACAGAAACACAAACATGTATAACCCACAGACTAGTCTGAAATTAGCATATATTCAAATGTTTTATATATATATTTCCTTAGTCTCTCAGGGCTATGTTTTTATACACAGAAACGAGAGCTCATGTTGACATGTGCACATGCATGACCACACCAAACGCATCAACACTGCTCTCACCTGCGTCACTGGGGGAGTCGCCTAGAAAGGAAAAGCATCAGAGCATTAGCCCTCATGTAAGGAGCCACACACAGTGAGTCCCTGAGCGGTCAGAGAAGACACGCGTGCAATAGCTGGGAACCAGCGGGGACAGAACCTGCGGGGACAGAACCTGCGGGGACAGGGCCCCTCTAATAACTGGGAGCCTGCGGGGACAGGGCCCCTCTAATAACTGGGAGCCTGCGGGGACAGGGCCCCTCTAACAGCTGGGAGCCTGCGGGGACAGAACCTGTGGGGACAGGGCCCCTCTAATAGCTGGGAGCCTGCGGGGACAGGGCCCCTCTAATAGCTGGGAGCCTGCGGGGACAGGGCCCCTCTGCACACTTCTCTAGCATCTCCCCATCAGTCTGCTACGGTCAACCAGAGCTATAACACTGCACATTAAAACAAGACTGTGGCCAGTCAGTGACAGCACGCGCCTTTAATCCCAGCACTCGGGAGGCAGAGGCAGGCAGATCTCTGAGTTTGAGGCCAGCCTGGTCTACAGAGCTCGTTCCAGGACAGCCAGGGCTACACAGAGAAACCCTGTCTAGAAAGACCCAGAAGAAAAGAAAGAAAAACAAGGCGTGGGGGAGATGACACACAGACTGTGAAGGAACCATGCCACAGAGCTAAGTAAAGCAGACTGACGTCACAAATCATGACAAACAAGCTGGTGTGACAGCTTGGGGCCAGCCGGACCTAACAAACTGACTAAATGTCTCCACCAGCTTCCTGCAGCCTGGACTGCACCTCACTCAGGGTCCTCTCTCTTCAAGTGCTGTAGTCTAGGCACAAATACAGCCCATTCAGTCAAAAGTGCCACAGGGTGGAGTCAAAGCCAAAGCTGTGGGCTGGGGATGTGGAGGGTGGCAGAGCTTGCCAAACACCTCTAAGTTCCAACCCCAGCACCACCAGACAACAAAAGTACATCCTTGGGTCACATCCAGGAACACATTGACATAGGCCAACACAGTGAGGGCCAGGGCACACATGTCCATCTCCACACAAGAGCAGCCTTGCCCTCAAAGGCACGGGCATCAGAGCGCCCACACGCAGGTACAGGGGTGATGGCTCCTGGGATCTGACTCCCACAGGACATCCCCTGAGCACTACACCAAAGCTCCTAGACAAAGTCATCTGAGGGAGGCAAGAGCTCTTGGGGACACAGAAAGGGGAGATGGCCTAGGATCCTTTCTCTGTGACCCCAGGAGACCCTAGGATCACAGCACAGAGTGGGAAGTGGTCAGAGACTAGTCAGTAAGGGACTCCAGAAAGAAGGACAGTATTAAACCACACTGGGGACCCAGGCAACAGGCACGAGGGACTCCACTGAGCCCCGAAGCAGGCACAAGGGCACCTCAGGTCCTCGCATGCCCACAGACCTGGTATCTCTTGCAGGCTGTGCTATGCTCTACTCACCTCTGCTCTGTCCTCCAAGCCTAAATTAACATGGAGCTTCTGAATCTAACATAACCTATGCCGCCACTACCATAAACATCACCATCTCCCACTGCTCTGCCTCAAAGCCTGGAAGGGACTGGCAGGGACCTCTCCATCTCCTAACCTCCCTCACATGGCCATGTGAGGTCTGGAAGAGCCTGGCAGGAACCTCTCCTCTCCCATACCCACATCTTCTTTTCACACTTCTGCTACACCAGGCCAGCCAAATCAGCAGTTCCCAGCTCGGAGCCCTTCTGTGAGGGTGCTGGCAGGCTCTCACGTTTCCCAGGCCATCCTCGGTCCCTCCCCTCGCTCTTCTTCCATCATCTCCTGTGCAATGGTTTTCCCACATGCTTGCATCTCAGCTCTCCTCAGGCCCTGAACCAACACCAGGGCAGGTGGCCTGGTAGCCCTAGTCTCCCATGCAGTTCCTGCCTTGGTCCTGACACACAGTTGCTCTTTGACAAATACTCTGTAAAAACTAGTTGACAATCATCACCTTCACCTGGCCGCACCCACCATGCAGCCCAGCACAAGCCCAGCCTGCTGGAGGCTCCCAGGCTTTGGGAACAGACTGAGGGGTATTCTACCGCAGTCCTTCGAAAGGTGCATCTGGATACTGTTGGCATCGCAGACAGAGGACCGGCAGCAGCCATCTTTTTTGCTATCTGAAGTCCTCCGAACAGGAGTGGCCTGCAGAGCTCTGACCAGTGAACCTGGAATCTGTGTCAGCGATCATTCATGACACCCTGGCATCACAAATACTTCACACTAGGCCCAGGAGTGTCTTGTCTGTGCCACCAGGCAATGACCTTGTTTTATGGGAAAGACAGGGGTGACTCCCTTGCCACATCAGGGTATACTCAGCCCTGGCTGCACCCTGGAGAGTACTGGCACCTGGCAGCTAGCTTCCTCTGTGTGGTTGAGTCTCCTCCCACCAAGAGCTGTGAAAGGGGTCATTCTTACCTTTCTGTTTTACTGCTGGCTCTGGCTCAGCGTTCTCCCGCCACAGACTAGCTGAGTTATCATCTGAAATACTAGTTCAGTTAGTATTGGCTTCTCGGATCCTGACAGAAGAGTTCAAAGTTGGGCACGAGACTGTGTCCTGAAGGGCTTGTGACTAACGGCCTGCCTAGCACATGTCTATTCCCACCCTGCCACATGCCAAGGATGACAAGGGTAGCTTCTGAGAACATGTAGTTCTGGGATGAACAAGGGAGGGGAATACCAGACACGAGCCTGGCCCAGATTTCAGGGCAGCTGGGATCAGGGGACTCCCTAGACAATCAGACTGGCCCTACCTCCCCATCCTAGAGCCACATATGCAGCAGCTCCACCAGCCAGGCCTGCGAGCCCAGCTTCACACAGTTGGCACATCAGGAAAGAAAGAGCAAAGGGAAAATACTTTTGTCGTGGTACGTATCCCTCAACACATTATAGAGTCTCAAATACCATCTGCTGACTACTAATGTGCAAGTCTTAAAAAGAGAAAAAAGTTCATGACGTGGGGTAAATAAAATACTTCCCATATTAAAAGCAAGAGACGGCTCAGAGAGCAGGCTGTGCATGGCCGGTGGGACAACTCTGAAACTGGCCTCTCACGGGCCCTGGAAAACAGGTTTCCTGAAACCCAACTGTGTAAGTTCTTAAGGCCATTCAAAGGAACAGTTCACAACACAATCTGCCATTAACTGTCAAAAGGCCAGTCTAGTTAGGAAGGGCTACATAAGCGGCGGTGTGTGGCTTTATAAGGAAATTTTCTTCAATGTGTAACGACACTGGCCTAACAGTCTGAATGAGGACACCAAGCACTGCAAGCGTGTTATAGAGCGCAGCCAAAGATGAGATGAGATTCTAAGACCTAAGAGCGAGCAGGTCAGCAGCTGCGGGGACTGCCAGCTCCGAACGTGCCACTAAGCCCACGCTGTCCCACTGGCCTTGCAAGCGCCAAGCACTTCTGCTCTACAAAAGCAGCATCACAGTGTGCCTGTGGGAAGCCACGGCACTGGGGCTTCGTTCCTGTCCTTCTGCTTTTATCAGTTTACTCATTTTGGAGGGTGGTGGTGGCACCCAAGCCAGGCCTGGCCTGGCACATTCTAGACTAACGCAACGCCCTACCACTGAGCTATACTCTTAGCTCAGAATCATCATATAATTGTACCCTTCTCGAGCTCTACTGGTTTTTTGTGTTGGGTTTTGTTTGCTTGCTTTTAGTTTTGTCGGAGCGAGGTTATTTGCGTTTTGTTTTGTTTGATGTAGCCCAGGTTGACCCTGAACTCAACATGAAGCCAAGGCTGGCCTTGAACTCAAGATCCTCCTGCCTCCCCAAACCAAGAAATGGGAATACAAGCATTCACCATTTTTCTTGACTTCCATTGGTCCTCTTTATATTTTTTTATTTTAATTTATTTATAGTATTTTTATTATTTATGTATATTATTGACAGGATGGATGCATGGGTGTGGGCAAGCAAATGCATGTCACAACCGGCTCTTTCCACCGGTCCTGAGGACTAAAGTCCAGTGAGGCTTACAGGGCTAGCACGTCAACCACTGAGCGACACCTCCCCGGTATTCATAAGCAGCCTTTACTACTCTTGTGTTGTATTAGTGGTTTTACCCAGTGTTAGCCAGCCATACAGGGCTGCTGTCAAATCTGATTGCATAACTACATTTTCAAACAGTAAAAATAAATTTTTAAAAAATTAGAACACAGCTCGGATTTTAAATAATAATCAGAAAATAATTCTGTGCAATGTTATGTCAGAGAATGTCTATGTAGTTTTATTGGATCTGGGGGCTGCACTCTGAAGTTTTACATAAAATTTGTATCAAGATGTTTTTATCATACGTTGTAATCACTCCTAAAAATGCACAGCAGAGGCAAAGCCAGCATAAACTTCACATGAAGCCTCGGTACAGGGTGAGCGGCACTTCCATACTTTGCTGTATTTTTGGTAACAGCAATAAAACAAAATGAGCGAGGTAAAGTGAGCAGAATGGCTTACTGCACCAGAAAAGCCAGAAATGCCCAACTAGAGAAACCAGCACGCATGCTGCACGTTCACTTTACAGCAAGCATGCAGGAAGTAGTGCTCATGGCTCGGGGGACACGGGTAGACTGCTGGTGAGTTCAACACTCCTGCAAAAGCAAAATGGGAACAAAACCCATGCACTCTCTTCTGGCAACCCACAGCAGGACCTGTCACATACAAGGACCGGCCAGCCAGGAGATGGCTGCTTTCCTTGAAAACACAGGCCAAGAATGATGCACACCCACCATCCCAGCTCCTGCAGGCGGAGGTAGAAGGCTCTTGAGTCCCCTGGACTACATACATAGAGAGACCCTATCTCAAAAAGAAAACGAGAAAGGACAAGTTCCTCTCTGAAGAACTAGGAATAAAAGGCTGTCACAGGGAAAGGACCCTTCAGGGGACACTGGGACACCAGATCTGGAAATCATACTCATGAAGGCCCTGAGGAACTGACAGCTGCTGGTAAATTCTCAATTCCCAAACAACTGTGCTGGGAGACAATGCTAGTGACTGCAGCAGCAACCAGGCAGGTAGCAAGACCTAGTTTCTGGCTGAGACCCGTGTAGCAGCAGGACAGGGGGGTTGGGCAAGAGGTGCCTGCAGCACTCCTAAGCCAGGACTCTGCTCCTGACCACTGTTACCTGAACCCACCCAGGGGCAGCATACGAGCCGCATCCTGACCACCCCACTAGGGGGCAGTACAGGAGTAACACTCACCCTACTAGGGGGCATCAGGTTTCACTCTAAGCTACTGAACACTCAACGGTACAGTTTGCACTTCTTAAGAACAGAACTTATGTTTTCACACCTGTAGATAAGATTCATACACTGTTCAATATAAGCCTAAGAATGGTTTCAATTTATTTTACATCAAAGGTCCCACTGGGCTGTCAGTTTTAAATAGATTGCATCCCGCTCATTCTCAGAGCAGCTACCTCCACTCCCACACAGGGGCTCAAGAATATGGCTCAGGGAACCACCTGAAAGTCTGCTCCAGGCCAGGAGGGGTAAGCGGAAGAGGAAGGAGCCGTTCAGGGGTCTTGGATAGGGAGTCACAGCTAAACAAAAGAAGACGCCCTCCCAGCGCTCACCACCACCTCTACAGATGGGAAAAGCTCTCCCCAAAATAAAACCCCATCACAAGATGGGGCTGAAGGGTGACAGGCCCACAGTGTCGGAAAGAACACTGACTGCCCCGGTTAAGAGCCTTGTATCTGACAACCAAGACTGACAGCCTGGAGAAGCCACGTACAGAGCTGGACTTGACACAGGAAGCCACAGATGATTTTCCCATTCTACCTCCTCACCAATAGGGGAACAAATGGTCCCAACATCCCTCTTAAAGACTGAGTTCCAGAGGAACCCATGCACAGATGTGACTTGCCATCATTTTAGTTTTAGATAGTGTCAGAATTTTAATGTTTGCTGTGCTGCATGGGAGTCTGGGTCTGGATCCCTAGGACCTACATAAAAACCCAGGGAGGGTGGCACATTCCCAGAACCCCAGCACTAGGGAAGTGGAGACAGGACAATAGCAGGAGCCTGCTGGCCAACCAGTCTAAAAGAAATGAAGACTCTGTTTCAGAAACAAGGGGAAAGGGGCTGGAGAGATGGCTCAGCAGTTAAGAACACTGACTGCTCTTCCAGAGAACCTGCTTCCAATACCTAGCACCCCCATGGAAACTCATAACTCAGTTCCAGGGGATCCGACAACCCTCATCCAGAGATGCATGCCAGCAAAACACCAATTCACATAAAAATAAAAAATAAATCAAAAAAAACAAAAACAAGGGAAAAGGCGAAACTACAAAATCTGGTAGATACAAGGTTAAGTCCAGAAAAATTTTATCTTCCTCTAAAATCAAGTTTTTCCTTAAGTACAACTTGAGGATTCTCTTTCTAAAGAATGTGGTCTAAGACTATGATGATCCCTTCTGGAAGGACTCACCCTCCCTGGGGAATGGAAAGGGAATGGGAAGGGGGTGGGGGGGAGTGGGAGGATGGGAGGGAGAGGGAACTGGGATTGATATGTAAAATAAGAAAAAAACACTAAAAAGAAAAAGAATGTGGTCTAAAGCTCAGGAAGTTAGAGTGAGGGTGATCCTGTACGCTTCTTTTCCTCTCTAGCTTTAACTACAGTGATTGTCACAGTGTGCCACGGAGCTCTCTCTCTCTCTCTCTCTCTCTCTCTGTGTGTGTGTGTGTGTGTGTGTGTGTGTCTGTGGGTCATGGCACACATGAGGAGTTCAGAGAACGACCTGTGGGAGACACTTCTCCCCTTCTACCACGTGGGTTCCAGGGGTCAGACTCAGGTGGTCAGGACAGGCCGAAGGCATCTTTACCTGCTGAGCCATCTCACTAACCCACTTTTTACAGCCTCAACGGTAGAGAATTCTGAATGAAACAAAGCAGAGCCAATGGGGATACAAACATGTAACTAAGGAGCGATCCACATTATCTTAATGACTATCAGTGTCAGATGAGCAAGGGCAGGGCGGTGGTGGTGCACGCCTTTACTCCCAGCACTCAGGAGGTAGAGGTAGGTAGATCTGAGTTTGAGGCCAGCCTGGTCTCATGCTAGGACATGCCAGGACATGCTAGGACAGCCAGGGCTACACAGAGAAACCCTGTCTCAAAAAAAAAAAAAAAATGAGCAAAATGTCTTGACTTACACCTTAACATGTTATGCACAAACATTGTGCCTGCCAAACACATGTAATAGTATGTACATTATACAAAAAGGCATGTAGCTGGTGTGGCACACATCTGTAATCCCAGCATCTAAGACAGGAAGATCACTGTGAATCTGAGACCAGCTTGGGCTATAGAAGAAGATGCTGTCTCAAAAGAAGAATGGGGGAAGGGAGCTTAAAGATTTACTTCATGCCAACTTAATAAAATGATCACATAACTTAGCAAATTAAATCAAACTGGATGGTAAGTCATATCTGATCCTCAGGTTAGAGAGGGAAAATATGATGAGCATTAAAGTGATTAGAATAAAAATAATTCATAATATTCTGTACCAAAATTGGGAAGAATTTAAACTGAAGGACAGTTTCTCTTAACAGTGCCATCGACATGGAACTATTTGGTATCAAAACCAGAGGAGTCAAACTGAAGGATGTATTTTCTTACCTATTTCTGAAGCTGTCGTTTCCTGATCTGGTTCGTCATTTAGTCCCGACACTATGGAGTCTAAAATCTTAGCTGAAATATTATCCTCTTTCCTTCCTGACATAAAACAGTTAACAGCAGATTAAAATGCTGTAAGGCATTTTGTATTTGGGCTGCTTTAGTTAGGGTTTACAGGGCCTACTACCAAGGTCACCAACAGACTGCCTTGTCCAGTCAGTGCTCAACTCTCAGCTGGCCCAGGACACCCCTTAGGAAACTGAATATGATGCCCTCTCTTCTCCATCATGTCCTTCCTTTGACATTCAGGACACCCTCTCCACCTTTTCCTCTGATCCATCTTCCAGTCTGAGTCTTGGCAGGTGCTCTGCTCCACCATGCATCTGGGCTCATAACCATCTAAAGGCCACACCACCTGTTACTGCAGACTTAAGAGCACTCATCTGTAGTCTACTGCTTCTAGGACTCTCCACCACCAAGGCCTAAATGACTTGCAGTCTGTGCACACACCTATGCACACCTTGCTTCAGACATCGCCAACTTGAATGTCCCAGAGTTCTTGGAGTCCTTTCTTTCCAGGCTAGTGGCATCCAATCCATCATCTATGCTGCCAAATCCCTAACTCTCACCGGCTCCCACCATGGCTCTGGGGCTGAGCCACCATTTGTCATCTTCACACACCACCATCTCTCAGTGTTACAAACTCTCGATGTCTTCTAGCTGCCCGCTCCCACCCTAGCCCGATCTCAGCTCTACCCTGTGTAAAATCCACCAAGGCCTTCTGCACACACCTGCAGCCCACACAGACAAGAAGACAGTCTCTCAGGGCCCTGCCAGCTGATGTGGGCCCTTCTCCAACCACTGTCCCTGTCTCCACTCTAGTCTACAGCTAGTCTACAGCTCGCACTCTCTGCTCCAGGCCTGCTACAGGGCCTCTTTCTCCCTAGGCAGCTTGGAGCTGACGCCCCGGCTTCCTGAGGCTCTTCTTGCCTGAGCCCCTCATCCCTGCTTCTCTTGGGTTCATTTTCCTTCATTTATACAGGTTTGTACTCCAGCAGTCTTGCTGTACTTTGGATTCTGCCCAGGAAAGGAAGGAAGGAAGGTTCAAGTGGGCAACTTCAGTCCATGGCTGACAGAGAGCAAGATGCGGCAGCTCACTGCGGCAACCCTGACAGAGCCCACCGTCCTTTCCCATCTGCTGTAGCCTGGGGAAACACTCCAGAGATGAGGCTTGACCTCACATAGGAGCAGGCACTGAGTGGTCACCGTCTGTGGTCAGAGATCACCCTGATGCAAAGGACTAACTAGACACTGACTAGTTCCACCCACAGACTCACTTCCCAGCCTCACTGCTGCTTAAGGGATCTTACCAAGCTGATTCACGCTAGGGTCCTTCTTAGCTTTATGGTAGGAAGCGTTGTGTTCTTTCTCAGGGGAAAGTAAGTGTTAAACTTACAAATGCTGCAGTTGCCAAGCAAAGGAACTAAGATGAATTCGGTAAGTCCTGAATATATAGCTATATGTGTATAGTGCATGGGTGTTTTGTCTATTTGTGTATCTGTCACTGCATGCCTGGTACACAGGGAGTCAGAAGGAGGTAGCTGAAGTTATGAGTTACTGGCTGCCATGTGGGTGTTGGGAACAGAACCTGGGTCCTGTGGAAGAGCAGCCAAGTGCTCTTAACCACTGAGCCATCTCCCCAGCTCGATATGTGTGTGTGTGTTAGAAATACGTAAAATACGAGCTGTTTCTGAGTAAGTAAAAGTATCATATTCTCATCTATCTCTTAAGTGCTATGGTGATTCCAGAAGAGCCTTAAGAGTCTACTCATGTCTGAATCCCTTATTCTTCATAGTGGATACAAAGATCAAACCAAACACCCAAACCCAGTGTCCTGGGCACCTGTGGGTTAGCACATTTGCTCAAGTGATGGCCTACTCAAGGAAGGCAGACTGTGTGGTGTGCTCAGCCTTGCTGAGGGGAGGGCCTACGGTGAGTCGGTGCCTGGCTAGTGAGGCTGAAGATAAAAGTCCACTGAGCAGCTGCCAGCTCTGTCAGGCTCACAGTAAGTATTCTTGCAAGTCCCTGATGGAATATTCTCTTGAGGATCACAGAAGAGAGGAGACACAGAGAAGGAAGACGAAGAGGGACAGAGAGACAGAGTCACAAAGCTGCCACAAGCTAGCAAATACTAAGTCGAGGGTGTGGCAATGCACACCTCTGATCCCGCTCTCAGGAGGCTGAGGCAGCCTGCTGGACTACAAAGCGTGTTTGAGGCTGCCTACATAGTAAGATCCTGTCTCAAACAAAACCACCAAGAAAAAGCAGGGCGAGGAGGAGAACAGGGCTCCCAGAAACAAAATTAAAACAACACGAGGTATCAACAACCACCTCAACTAAGACACCCCAGCAAGCCACACACAGCCAGAACTCCCATATTATGGAAAACATAGTCAACACAAGTCATGACAAGTTAGTCTACTTACTTCCTGGCAGTAGGGTAAGTATAAGTGATCTAACTAGAAGAAAAACCAGAATACAGCACCCCAGGCATGGTGGTGCACAACTTTAATACCAGCACTCAGGAGGCAGAGGCAGAGGAATCTCTGAGTTCAAGGCCAGCCAGGGTTATAGAGTGAGACTTGGTCTCAAATAATTTTTTTTTTTTACTCTGTAAAGATAAACAAATCAAAACAGCATAATTTAAATAAAACCTCTTTTAAAAGGACAACAGCAGAAGGCAGGTAACAGAAGACATAGTGTCCCAGAGAGCAGGGAAATGCAGCTCACCAGGACGCCACTCTGAACAATCCAGAGCCTCAGCTTCTACCATAAACTGCAATATTATTATGTGCTCAGGCAAGTCAGAAGCCAAGCCACGTGAAAACGAACTAAGAAGCGAGAGGAGCACATTTAAACACTGCTCGTCCTAACAAGGGCTTTGTGAAATGAACACCACCACTCGCCTCCACAGCAGTCAGGCCAGGACAACAGGTGCATCGGAGCAACCCAAAACTGCCGACACAGGCAAGTACAGTCCCACCAGGAGTCACATCCCCACATCTGTGACATCTGGGGAGCTTTGGAGCACAGAGAAGGGATGGGATGAGGCGTCCACGGAGCCCTGTGGCTCAGGCCTGACATCTCCCTTGTCCTGATGCCAGCAGTTCCTATGGGCTCCTCTCACGGATGGCATGCACAGGAAAAGGCTTTTGGACATGAAATGTCACCACAGCATCACAAGCTAGGCGAGGAGTCATTGCTGAACGAAGAACCCCAACCACCACATTCCTGTCTCTTCTGACATCACAGGTTAGGAAGAGGGGGTTCTTATAAAACTACTGCTGATCAACAAAGCTACTCTGCACTTGAGTGAAGCCTCCAGCACTAGCGGCTGTCCCAGGATCCCCATGCTCTGCTGGCCTGACTGCTGGTCAGCTGAGCAAATCCCAGGCCAGGCCTGTGAGCTCGGCTTTCAACACGATTCCTTCTTTAAGTGCAACAGCTCTGTCTGTGGGCTCTGTGTTTGATCTGCAACAGGGTTGAACTCTTTCTAACAGAGCAGAAGAGCCCATGAGACCGAGATGACTGACAAGCAATTCTGAAAGGAAGTTCAATGCACCCTTTAGATTTCGACAGGTTCTCCTGCCCTGGGTGGCATACATATACACATGCCCCTCTGTGAATACATGCAGAAACCACAATCTCCAGTTTTAGAGTCTACCCACCCACCCCCAGGTGTGGCAGTCCTGTGCTCCCCAAGGTTTCCTTCTACTACACTCTGCCCATACATAAAGGCCGGTCTCCATCTCAGCTACACACACAGGCAGCTTTCCAGTACCTTCCAGTGAGTTCTTAGATCTCCGTTTTGATGCTTTTGATGTCAAGGACCTGGATGCTCCCACAGAAACCTCAACCTGAAAGAGAGGAGAAAGAGTCACTTGGCACATTGCACTTCGAGTCCATCAGAAATTACTTTTCATGTTCTGCTGGAAGAGTATAACAGGATACATCCTTTGGCTTGAGGGACCATGCCATCCCCATGTGACCACACCCTCGAACCCGCGGTAAGACACAGAGGACAGCAAACCTCCTTGCCCTCCATTTCGATCCCTCTGTGCCACTCACTGAGAGAAAACACTGTGAGATGTGCCTATGAGGAGCCTACCTCTGTTGCCACATAGTCCTAGGCTGAAGGACAAGACACAGGTCAAACTGTGCTGTGCAGCAGGTGAGGTCCTCAGTGATTCAACACCTCAGGGGGTAGCATTTACACAAACCAAGATCCACAGTGTTAACTAGATATACAGCTTTCCAGGGCCCCATCTTACATGCAGCTCATCACTGCCCAAGATATCAAATGTGGTACATGACTGCGCTCCATTACCAAAATGGATTTGTACAGAACTCTGTTGTAATGAAAACTGCTAGCAACTGTAATAAAAACTATTGTAATAAAAACTGACAACAAAAGGAGTCAGCGAGAACACAGTAGTCCTCTCCCTCTATCCCTCCCCCTCCTTTCAAACCTTCACCCCCACCTCCGTCCTCGTTCTCTCTACCTTTCCTCCTCCAACCTCCCCCAACCATTCCCCAAACCCCTTCCTTGCCTGGCACAGCCCCACACCCCCATCCTCACACAGGCCCATGTCCCCAACCCCAGGACCTGCTCCAGATGCCTGCATCTCCTGGTTCTGAATACTTCAAGACGAATTACAGAAAAATGGCTTCAACCCCTTCAGTGGTCCCTCAATACCACTGATGAGTCCAGCATACAAAGGGATGATGCCATGATTGTACATCAGCTATAGGAGACATATTGTAGGGTCTGAAATTCACCAGGCAGAGCTTGGATAGATCCCTCTACCTGGCTATCCCTGGAAGCCACCTCCACCAGCTCCCCGAATGATCTATACATACTAGATGTGCATAACCCAGAAGTGCCCACAGACATCCCACTACCCAGTAGGTGGTAAACCAGGTACACCACAGCTTTCACAACAGAATATCCATGAAACAGTGCAATTTAAGCACAACACCCTCTCCTCCCAGGCCCAGCAGACCAGAGGAGACAGGACTCACAAGCTTCAATGCAAGTCTAAACTGACATCTCTTAAAGCTGTTCTTCAAGGCTGGGAAGATGACTCCGTGGTAAGTGCTGCCTGCAAATGGTCCTTCAGCCCACTGGACCAATTGGATAGATCTGCAATCACCTGAGAAACGGGCTTCTGGGATAGATGAATGGATGGAAAGACACTCCTACCCCTGCCACTGGCACCAGGCACAGTCTGGAAAGCATGATCAGTTCCCTAAGCTCCCGTGGCTATGGCTTCCCTGCTTTAACAGAGTACGAGCCAAATCAAACCCTTTCTCCCTTCAGTTGCTTCTGTCAGGGCATTTTCATCACAGCATCAGGAAAAGTAACTAAAACGCCCACAAGTGTAAAGACCTGAGTTTGGAAGTCCAGAATCCACAGAAAAGCTGGGTGCCTACAATCCCTCTGTTCCTACAGAGAGGTGAGAGGTGAAGACAGAAGACCAGGAAACTTGGCCCAGTTAGCCTGGAGAATAAACCAGAAAACAACAAAGATCCTGTCTCCAAAAAGGTGGGAGAGGACTGACACCATGGGTATCCTCCAATCTCCACACAAACATCATGGCAGAGAGACACCTACACCTATGGTCTCTCTCTCTCTCTCTCTCTCAAACACACACACACACACACACACACAAATAGGCTTTTATTATCAACTTGCCACAAACTAGAGAAACAAGATAAGAGGAAACCTCAGTTTAAGAACTGCCTCCCTCAAGAGCCAGGTGTAACAGTGCAAATCTCTAATCCCAGCAATCAAGAAGCAAAGACAGACTGGTCTCTCAGTTTGAGGTTAGCCTGGTCTACAGAGAAAGCTCCAGGACAGCCAGGGCTACACAGAGAAACCCTGTCTCAGAATGGAGCGGAATGGGGAAAGGGGAAAAAGAAAAGGGAAAGGGGGGGGGGGAGGGAGGAGAAGGCAAGGCAAAGGAGAAACTGCCTCCATCAGATGGTCTGGGAGCATTCTGGGGGGCACTCTCTGGACTGCTGATTGACGTGTGCAGTACCATCCCTGGCAGGTGGGCCCAGACTACAGAGAAGCAGCTGACTGAGAGCTTGGGAGCAAGGCAGTGTGCAGTGTGCAGTGCTCTCCTATGGTCTCTGCTTCAGGCCTGCCTCCAGGCTTCCTTTGATGATAGACTGGTGTGCAAGCATAAGTCAAATACACCTTCACCACCCCAGGTTAGTTTGGGTCTGTGTTTTATCATGGTACCAGAAAAGCAAGCACACACACAGAAAGAAAGCCTGTCTTTAAATTTACCTCCAGCTCTGCTTTGGCATCTTTGAAAGTTCCATCTGACAACTTTTTAGACATCTCCCCTGAGCTTGCTGACTATAAAAAGAAAAAGAAGAATACTTTGTTACACTTTAGAATTATTCAAATCTGTATTATTAACAATGAAAAGAAAGCCACAGAGATGCAGTACAAACAAGAGAACCTGTCACAATGGGGCACATCGCCGCGCCAGATCTGAGAGCCACAGTGCTCTGCCTAGACACCCCAAGAGTCTTCCAAGAAGAGAAGGCATTGGACAGCAGTGTTCCCTGGCTCCCTATCTCAATTCACCTTCTGGCTACCCAGATACTTCATAGGCTGTTATGAACTGAACAACCCCATCCGAAGATTCAACATCGGAAAAGCCGACTATCCCTTTCCTGGATGCTTGATTCACTCCTTCACCTAAGATCTGCTGTATGCCTACTGTGTACCAACACTCTATTAGACCAGGAATTCAACAGTGAACAGTAAAACCTAGAGTATGTGCTTAAGGGTATTTTAAATGTTTGAAAGCTTCCTGAATAATGCTGAGTTAAATGGCTGAAGTACTATTAATAAGTGACAAAAACATTTCAAGTTTTAAAGAACTAGGCCAGTAAGGTGGTTCAGAGTGTAAAAGCATTTTTCACGCAAACCCAGCACCCTGAGTTAGATTTCTAGAACCCAGCACAAAGGTTTGGAGAGTCGACTCCACGAAGCTGTCCTCTGGCTCCACACCATGGCATGCACACACCACATTTGCACACACTTCATGCACCCACACATCAGGCAGCTCACAACCACCTGTGCGTCCAGCATACATGGCACACATTCACACAAACTCTAAAATATTAAAAATAAAAACTAAGTCTTTAAAAAAGCAAAAGTAGGACAGAAACTATGTTAGAGAGCACACCATGATCTCCAAGTATGCCTTGGGGCTGGAGGGACTTTGAGCACTGGCTGCTCCTGCAGAGGACCTGGGTTCAGTTCCAGCATCCACTCGGCAGCTCAGAACCAACGGTAACCCCAGCACCAGGGTAAGTGATGCTGTCTTGGGCCCCAGGGGCTCGTGCACATACATACATGGTACACATAAACTCATTCAAACACTCACACAAACCTAAGACTACCAAATAAATCAATCTTAGAAAACAAGGAAAGCTTGACTGCGGCCATGCCTTTCTCTCCGGCTTGTCTGGGTCTCTGCTTTTCTCCCTGTCAGGGTCACGGGAATGTTCCCCATTCTTCGCTTTCCGCCGCTCCCGGTCTTTTCCCTTGTCGCGGTCTCGGTCCTTCAGCCTCTCTTTCTCTTTCCCACCCTCGCCCCTCCTGTCCCTCTCCTTGTCCCTTTCCGCCTCTCTGTCCCGGTCTTTGTTGCTTCTGTCCCTGTCCTGCTTGGTGCGTGTCCTGGCTTTCTCTCGCTCCCCTTCTCTGAGTTTATCCTTGTCAGAGTCTCTGTGTCGGTCTCTGTCAGGCTCCTTTGCCTTCTCCTTGTCCTTGTCCTTGTCCTTCTCCCGGGGTCTGTTTTCTTCTTTCAATTCTTCCTTCTGTTTGTGCTCCACACTTGTGCTCCTCTCCTTTACCTCAGAGTTTCTTTTATCCTGAAGAAAAATATGCGTACATGTACATCATTTTTCACATTTTACTTAAGTCATAAAGACTTGCTATTTCAAAGACGGTCAGCCTACAACTCGCCTCTTTATGAGTTCTGGAGTCTTCTTCCTTCGCGTTCTTGTTGTCAGACTCATGCGCTTTGGAGGTCCGTAAGGCCCGACCTCTCGAGTCCCCCTTCTCCCCAGCTAAGACTCTCTTCACTGCCTCATCGCTGGAGAGCTTGTTGGCCATGTCAGGGAAGAGGAAATGATGTTAACACATACAGCCAATGAAAATGGAGCATTTAATGACAGTTCATTAAACAGATTTTCTTCCCACCGTAGAGGTTTGGAGGATACACTATAAAAATGTTAGGAACAAAGCCCTCATTTGACAGCCATTCCTAATGACAGTCCAGCTGATAATCCTGCCACCCCTCTACGAAACTGTCAGTGTGGACATGTGTGTGACTCCAGTAACCCACAGAACACCACAGATCCCAGGATCTAATCCCCACACATATATCAGTACAGCTATTACAAAGGAGATTTCAAAATTGTAAGTATGATGAGGGAAAATGGGGCCTGTGAGTCACTGGGGACGCAGCATCCATGAGGTGTGTGAACAGTCACACTCACGGTGACAGGGAGGGAACAGTTGTTACTGGGATGGAAGGAGCAGGAGAGGACATTATTACCTGATGGGTACAGAATGTTAGTTTTGCAAATGAAGAGTGGACAACAGTGATGACCACATGTCACTAACGTGTTCAAACTACGAAACTGTATGCCCACTGGGATGGTTGTCACTTGGGTTTAACACAACAGAAAACTACCTCAGGTCCCATCAAAAGTAGATTCTAGCTCCTGCATCCCTCACAGCCATCCAGGGTACTAGGCAGGTCTCTGTAGGCGAATTTCCTATCCTGCCAGCCAAGTCCCAAATAACCACGGCTCTCGGCAGAAGGGACTGCTCGCTCACACACCTGCTTCCACCCGCTCCTTAAGCATGCACTAGGAAAGCGTTTCACACCAGCTCTGCCGGTCCAGGACAAGCTGCCTGTCAGGAAGGGCTTCATAAGGTGGGCTTGCACCTACCTTGTTGAGGCAGCACTTGCCAATCAACTGAAGTAGCTCATTGGTTCTTTCAGGCTCATGCCCGGCCACAATTCTAGCTGGTTTTGCTGACAAGGGTTCTCCCGAGACCATCATGACCACATCTATGGCTTTCTGCAGGAAGCTAATTTTTGCATCTTTATCCTGAAGTATTTCCATGCAAGAGACAAATATTAAAATAAATACTTTGGGGCTGGAGAAACGGCTGGGTAACTAAAAGTGTATAGTGCTCTTACAGAGGTCCCGAGTTTCAGTTCCCAGCACCCACCTCAGATGGTTCATAACCGCCTGCTACTCTGCTCCAGAGGACTGACATCCTATTCTAGACTCCACAGGCGTGTGCGCGCAACACACACACACACACACACACACACCTACACACATACCACACACATGCGGGCATACACACACACACACACACACACACACACCTACACACATACCACACACATGCGGGCATACACACACACACACACACACACACACACCTACACACATACCACACACATGTGGGCATACACACACACACACACAAGCACATACACACACACATTTTTGGTTTGGGTTTTTTTCCCCTTTCTTCTTAAAAAGGAAGCCATGCACTTGAGAGGAAGATAGTGTAGGAAGTACCAGGAGAGCTGGAAGTCGGAGAGATGCAGTGGTGCATGGATATGATCAAAATACTCTGCATAAATGTATGAAATTAAAAAAATAAAACTATTTTAAAATACAATCTTGATTTTTAAATAAATACCTTGAGCAGCTTGCACTGCTTTTCTTTTCTTTCCTTTTTAATTATTTATTATGTATGCACTGTTCTGCTTGCATGTAACAGACCAGATGAGGGCACCAGATCATAGATGGTTGTGAGCCACCATGTGGGTGCTGGGAATTGAACTCATGACCTCTGGAAGAGCAGCCAGTTCTCTTAACCTCTGAGCCATCTCTCCAGCCCCACTTGCACTGCTTTCCAATAGACAAATTTAGCATGGCATGTTGTTACCACAAATGAGAAAATGAAACAAGGGAGCCTTGCATCCCACCCATCTATCAGCATAGGGATGATACACATAACAGTGTGCAGCCTGTAAAGCATGCTCCATTCTTGAAGACAAGGGTGTGGAGAAAAGGAACTAACTCACAGAAGAACCTACCTTGACGTTATCTGACTTCATCTCAGCATCTGTGTAGAGGCCCTTCATGAAGCCAGTTATCCTGATCACCTACAGAAGACAGAGGAACCATCAAGCACACCTCACTGGACAGCCCCTTCATGGATCTCATCCACTCATCCGCACTCTCAGGAGAGGTCAGAACCCAGCCACACCTACAGCCTAATTGCCTCATTCCCTTCCTCAACAAACATTTGATGCTAATTTATGTGGGGCCCAGGCTTCAAAGAACAACCAGCTATGAAGTCAGCAAAGACTACCAACACTGAGCAGGTGCTGGGAAGTTCACAGGAGGGAACGGGAGGGCCACGGGGAGGCCAGAGTGACAGGGAAGCGCTGGGAAGTACACACTGACCAAAAGAAAACAGACAAGTCCAGGCCGCCAGGGTCCATCAGAGGGGCCAAAGTTACACGGGGCAGCAGAAGCCTGAGGCCACTGTAACACCAGGCCTGACTCCAGTCCCTTTGCAGCAACTCGAGACCACAAACTGAGGCACTCCAGGGAGACACAAACAGCTTTTATATACCAGAGGAGGATCTGCCGACACACCCCGTCACCAGGGCACTCGGACCAAGTTGGGGGAGTGGACTCCAGAAAGGAGTTACTCAGTACTCAGCAAGGAGGTACTCAGCAAGGACATGCATAATTAGGCAAATGGTACACAGTGACACATTACCAGGAGGTAGGTTTAAAAACAATGCCAGCAAGACAGCCCCATGTGAATGCCACCTCCTCCTCTGGGATAGGGCTACAGCTACTTTAGCTACATCATGCTAGTTATTTATTCATCCTGAAGAGTCTATCTCACAGCAAACTTCAGGAGAGCCATACTACTAAGGTGGGCTGGGCTTGTGCTGGGTTCGTTTTTAAGAAGGCAGCTGGCACGCGGACCACCAGAGCATCCTGATCTAACATTACTGAAACTGCCTTTGCTCAGATTTTCCCAGGACAATGGCAGCTTAAATTGTGTGACAAGGGACATTCATGTCACAGAACAGAGGTTTACTTAATGAAGAAACAGTCAGCTAGTTGTAGCTAACCCCTTGAAGGTGACTTGAATGCAACACTCTCCACCTGTGACCTGACAATCCTTCCAAGTCAATTCTGACAAGGAGGTAACAGCTAGTGTACTTATCTTTATACCAGAGCATACTAGCTTCACCACTGGACCCAGTAAAGTCTAGAAGAAAAGCGGACCTTACCCCTTATCTGTCCACTTCCACTTTAATGTTCCTCCTGCCTCCCACAAGATGCACTCCATTCCTGAGATAAAGTGCAACCCAGTAAGCCATGGGCTGATGGTACAGAAGAACAGTACCAGCTTGGCAGTGCCCACTGTGACAGGCCAGAGCCACACTGGCTAGTGCTTGTTGGCACCTTTGTGTTGGAGGGCAGCAACGGACCATTTCCTGGGCCTCCACACAGAGAATCCCTTCCTCAGGCTTTCCAGGACAGGCTCCAAGTGTCTCACAGTCTGGGAGGAAACTACCAGTCATCGGAGCCCTTGGGATGAGGGTGGGTTCCAGAGTGTTCCTGGGCACACCTAAGACCGCTAACCCACAGGGCCACATTCTCGACAGCACCCATTACCAGCTAGGGTAGGAGGGCCAGAATGAGTAAAGCGAAGGGTAGAAAGACTAAGGTGCCCAACCTGCTGAGAGGAGGAAGTCTGAGGGACACCAGGGGAGACCAACAATACCCCAAGTCCCAGAGACCCTCTGGAGTACCATGCCGATTGTGCTCACCCCCTGCAGTGATACTCTGGAGTTATCAGAAGCCCTGACAGACTCCACACAACTGTGACTATTGTACAACGCTATGTACCTCATCCAGTGTAGCGCCCTGCAGATTGGCTAACAAATGGAAGACTTGCTCTAAAGAGACACAACAGTAATGGGGGGGGTAGAATTATGAGTGTTTTGTGGGGGCAGAAGCCTCCTTATATGAGGTGGTAAAGCAATGCAGGTCCCAAGACCTTGTGGGCCTGGGTCCCCAACATGGAAGGCACGTTTCCCTAACCAAACTCTTAATCTGCCCCCAGGCAAGGCCCTCCCCCCTACCCAGGCCTCAGTGAAAGCAAAGCCCAACTCTAGACCTCTAACATACACTCCAGCCCCTACAGCGCCCTGACCGGGTCCCAAGGCTCAGCCCTACATAATGATATCAGTCCTGGCTTCGACCTCCACCCCAGCCTCAGCTTCTGGCTCCAGACCCCTAACCTACAGTCTGACTCTGCATTCCATACCTGAACCCTGACCCTTAGATCTTTCTACCCAAACAGCCTGACCCAACCTTCACCCTGGCCTGGGCCTACAACCTGGCCAGCCAAGCCCAGCCCTCCAAACCTACAACCAACCCTAGACCCTGAATTCAAACCCTGGACAGCACCCTCCCTATCAGCCTGGCCCTCCAATCCACAGGCTGACCTTAGACCCTTCCCCAGACCCAGGCTCAGACCAGCTCCGGGCCATGACCCTCTAACCCAACCGGAACCTGCGACCAATCCTGACCGTCACACTGACCAGCACCACTCTACCCTCACTCCAACTGAAGCCCAACCCTCACCCTCATCGGGACCTGCATCTCCACCCTCACCTCCCTCTCATTTCAACCAGCACCTACGGCTCACCCTCACTAACCCCACCTTCGTCTAGATCTGCACCCAGGGACTAACCTCCACTTTTAGGCCTGAACCCTGACCGGCACCCTACCCCGATCTTCACACTACTGGGTCCTTCCACCCGACCCTCACTCTACCTGAACACTCACCTTGACCCAACCTTATTCTGAGCCTCACCCCAACCCGAATCCTATTCAGATCCACATCCTACTCTGACCCTCACCCTACCCGGACCCGCACCCCGACACTCACTTCGTCCACACCCAACCCTAACCTTCACCCCGACCCTCACCCCGCCACATACCTACCCTGATCCTTAACTGATCAGGCACCCTACCCTGGCCCTCACCCACTCCCGCAGCCTACCCCTACCCCCACCGCATCTCGACTGGGAACCTGACCTGACCCGCACCCAGCCCGCGCCCACCTCGGTGATGATGTCGTGCAGGTAGCGGAACGGCGGCTTGTTCAGCAGCTTCTCGGTGAGCGGCGGCCTCCGGATCACCTTGCCCAGCGCCTCCTGCGTCCGCCGCACCACTGCGGCGTTCATGGCGCTGGCGCCCGCGACAGCCCGCTCCCCTCCTCGCGCGCCGCGCCTCCGCCCGGTGCCCCGAGATGCCCGCCGTCCCGGCGCGCCGGTCTCCCATCCCACAGTGCACCGCAGCTCGCCACCGCGCCTGCGCGCGCCACCCGCGCCCGGTCTCTAGGGCCGCGCGGCCTTGGCAACGGACGCGCGCAGGGCCCAGCTCGGCCCCTGCGGCCTCTCTAGCTGTGCAGGAGGACACGCGCGCTCCTCCTCGGTGGCTGCTTGAACCTGAGTCTGCTCAGTCCGCCCCACGCACGCCACGGTGCTGCCCAGAGCTGCCCAGAGACCCGGCCGTTCTGTGTGAGGAAGGAGCGATCGTTTCTAAAGGAAGCGCACGAAGAGACCTGTTCAAAGTTACACCCCGGGAAAATAACACATTAACTCCTTTCATACCTTCATACCGGTTCCCTGCCCGGCACCCTCTCTGCCTTGGGTAATCTTGAAATTTTTGCCAAAGGGAGAGACGCGTGGAGACTGTGTCCTTCCACATTTTCTGTGCACCTTCGTTCACCAGGGCTGTCCCAAAGCTGTGAAGTGGCTAAGTCCTTCGATGAGGATGCTGCAGCCCTCCGAACCCGGGCAATGTGGAAGAGAAGCCTGTTGTTCTCATGCGTTGTGATCATCCCAGAGCTACATGAGGATCAGGTGCTGCCGCTGTACCTGAGATCTGGAGCTCCTTCTTCCAAACTGAAAGACCCCCAGCTAGGGTTCTGCCTACTAAGGTTCTGCCTATCATTGCCACATCCAGGACTAGAAACTCCTTTAAGAGCCCTCTCATTTTTGAGCCCCAGCTGGTGGTGTTCTCTGAGTGGGCAGAATTCTGAGAGTAGAGGTCCTAACTCTAAACACTGTCCCAGAGAGCAGACCCACATAACTCCTACCCTGGAAAATTCACTCTGGGCAGAATCCTGCTATGAGTATACGCTGGGAATTATGGCCAGCAACTAGCTTGCCTGTGATGCTGAACTAGGTGGTGGACACATAGGTATGACTTGGAGATTCCACTGACCTTGGGATTTTACTGAGGATCTGGGTCCTAGAATATACAAAGGGAAGGTGAATCCTAACCCTCTCACCATCTGTAGAGACCAGGACAGTAAATGGACTCAAGAGGCCCTGTGGAGGCCCAGAATACAGGGTTTGGCTGCTCTTTGGGAGTGCTAACCACCAGAGAGCCTCCAGTCCACCTGGGTATCAAAGTTCTGAGAGGATCCAGGACAGGAAGTACTGTCAACCAACCCCTATGAGGACTGACCTAGAGGACGCAACCACGTGGCAGCCTTTGAGGATTATAGTTCCGTCTTCTAGAGCATCAACTCTGCCACTGGTCCAGCCCACTCATCCATACTAAAAAGAGAGTGGACAGCATTCTGGTCACAAGGAAAGCTGGTCCCAGAAGATGTAACCACCTATTCCTGACTTCGATACCTGGAATGGGTCCTCCCTGGGGAAAAGATGCAGAGGCTGGTCTGGAGCCAGCAGCTTTGAGGGGTCAGCAGAGTAGGGCCACTAGCCTAAATCACCCCCCATCCTGAGATAAGACAGAGAACAGTAAAGAGTCATTCATGGAAAAAGTAACTGCTGAAGTATGGGAAAAGAACAGCAGAGAAGGGGTCTCTGACACAAAAGACTGCAGGGGAGGCTTTGAAAATGAGCGGTTTCTGAGTGAATGAATGCTATAACCCCAGGAAACAGAAGCCACAAAGCACAGTGGCCTCCAGGCCGTACATCCCCCAGCTGGGAGGCAAACATTCCCTGAGACAAAGACCTGGGGTGCCGAGCTTCCCATCTGCCCAGGGTCCAGGATGTGGGTCAGGCTTGGGGAAGGGCCTGGATTTGGGAACCAGGGTAGGGAGCAGGCATTGTGCAGAGCACAGACAAGCCTCGCCCTACGGATGCAAGACCAGGATGCCTACTCCATTTGACTTTCAGATAAAACAGTACTTACCATAAATCTATGGCAGATGGTTTTTTGGTTTTTTGATTTGTTTTGTTTTTGTTTTTGTTTTTTTGTTTTGTTTTTTTCATTCTTTTCCTTGAAATTCCAAACTGAATACCCTGCGGTTTTCGTTATCTAAGCCTACAAGCGCTGGATGAGGCACCCAAAGCGTGTCCGTGGGGCAGAGCACATAGCAGAAGCAGGCCTCTCCCACAAGTGGGAAGCCTCTCCTGTCATTGCTGCTCCCGCTTGCCCAGGCAGGAGTACAAAGCGAGGTCCCCACTGCTAGCATCCAGCCCGGGATGTTGACACCGCCATTGCCGACCTTCATGGCAGCCTGGTGGAAGCTGGAGAGAGGCACAGTGGGGGGGGGGGGTCAATAGTTCTGCCTGGAGGTTTATAGGACTTTGGCAAGGTTGGGGTCTGGGCCCCATCACCCGCAAAGGCCTCTGAGCCACTCATACCAGTCCCCAACATCTTTAAGCTCTACCGACCACAGCTTCTCTTCAACGAGGGGGAAAGCTCTCCTTTGTGGGCACAGAGTCAGGGTGAAGAGCCCGGCTAGGAAAGTGAGTCTAGGGTATCACAAGCCCTGAGGGGATGAGCCAGGTGAGAGCCAGCTTCCAGCCTTCCTAGGAGGGCTGACTGTAGGGGTTGGGGTGGCTGAGCAGTAGAGCCTAGTGTGTGTGAGGCTGTAGGCTCAGTAGCCAGCGCTGTAAAGCAAGAGGAGCAGGAGGGCTTTTCAGGTGACTCAGGGAGCCCTACTCACACTCCCACCATCCACCTTCCTCTCAAAGCAAGTTACATTTTGTATATTTGTATTATTTATTTATTGTTATTTACTTATTTAGTTAGTTTGGTTTTTCGAGACAGGGTTTCTCGGTATTGCTTTGGAGGCTGTCCTGGAACTAGCTCTGTAGACCAGGCTAGCCTTGAACTCAAAGAGATTCACCTGCCTCTGCCTCCCAAGTGTTGGGATTAAAGGCGTGTGCCACCACACTATGTCATTTATGTATTTACTTTTCTTTCTTTACTAGAGTATAGTTCACAAATAAGAGTCATATAGCTTTGTAACATGCAATATGACTTTTGATATTTGTATATATGGTAAAATGTTTAAATTTAGATAAGTAACATGTCATTGCCTCCCATATGTGTCATTTTTATGATGAGATCTATTCTCACAGCAATAATTTGGTATGCAAGGGTTGGTATGATCCTTAACCACTATACTATAAAATAAACCTGGTCTCTTTTCACCCTATGCAACTGAAAGTCAGATTCCTCCTACAGCCTCTCCCTTTTACTGTCTGATTCTATGAGTTCAACTTTAAATTCCACATTTAAGTGAGATCTTATGGCATTTGTCCTCTGTGCCTGGCTTATTTCACTTAACATAATGTCCTCTAGTTCACACACATTGTTGATTTCCTTGTTTTATGGAAGAATATTCTTCTGTACATATCATATTTTGCTTATCCATTCATCTATCAATAGCTACTTAGATGGATTACTGTCCTGGTTAACTCTAATTGTAAATTTGATACAACCTACAATAATTAGAAAGAGAATCTCAATTAAGAAATTCCCTAGATTAAATTGGCCTATTGGTCGGAGGGGTTCTCTTGATGGTTGATTGATGTAGGACAGATGGACCCACTGTAGGCAGATCCATCCTGGGCTATATAAGAAAGCTAGCTGAGCCAGATGTGGTAGCACATACCTTTGATCCCAGTACTTGAGAGGCAGAAGCAGGAGGATTTCGGTGAGTTCAAGGCCAGCCTGGTTATATAGTGAGCTTCGAAACATCCAGGACTACTACATAGAGAGACCCTGTCTCAAAAAAAAACAACAGAAAAAGGAATAAAAGGCTGAGCATGAGCCTGCCTGTCTGCCATTTTTTGTGGTTCCTGCCACCTTTCTTTGGCTGAAACCTCCCTGCTCAGGGGTAAATTTGTAGAATAGCAACAGGCCTGCCTTCAGGCTCCTGCCTCAACTCCCCTCAATGAGGGACTGTGATCTGGAATCGGGACCAGATAAAACCTTCCTGTCCCAAAGTTGCATTGGGTCAGTGTATTTGTCACAGCAACAGAAATGAAACTAGGATAATTATGCTTTGTTTTAATTTATTATTTATTTATGCATCTGTGTGTGTGTGTGTGTGTGTGTGTGTGTATGTGTGTGTGGGTTTGAGACATGTATATACAAATGCCTACAGAGGCCAGGAGAGGTTTTAGTTTCCCTGGAGCTGGAGTACAGGTGGTTGCAGGCCACTTGATTTGGGCCCTGGGAACCAAACTTGGGTCCTCTAGAAGAGCAGTAAGTATTCTTAATCACTGAGCCATCTCTGCAGCCCATGGATTTTTTTTTTTTTTTTTTTTTTTTTTTTTTTTGTTTGGGGTTTGGTTTGGTTTTGGTTTTTGTTAGACAGGCTCTCATGTTCCTCTGGCTGGCCTCAAAATCACAATGTAACTGAAAATGACCTTGAACTCCTGATCTTCCCAAGCACTGGGTTACATACAGGTCTGTGCCTCTACTCCTGGTGTTTGTGTGTACCCGGGGATCTGGCTTTGTGCATACTAGGTAAGCTAACCAAGCTGAATCCTAGCCCTGATTCCAACTCTTGAACAATGCTACAATGAACTTGGGGATGCAGGTAGTTCTATAAGACACAGGTTCCCTTCCTTTGGATGTATACCTGACAGCTAGGTCAGACGGTAGTTCTCTTTCTAGCTTTTCAAGCGCATAGCGCTTTCCACAATAGCTACTACTTCACATTCCCACCAACAGCAGCCCCTTTCCTGTACTCCTCACCAGCACTCCCTAGGAGGGTTTGTTCATCATCCCCTTTCTAAAAAGATTTACTTTTATTTTATGTACTTGAGTGTTTGCCTGCATGCATGCCTGTACCATAGGGTTGCAGTGCCCACGGAAGTCTGAGAGGTCTTGGGGTCCCCTGGAACTGGAGTTATGGACAGTTATGATCTACCATGTGATGGGTGCTGGGAGTCAAACCTGCTCTTTAACCTCTGACCCCTCTTTCCAGCTTCTCATCATCCCTTTTTGGTGATATAATCCTCAGTTGCTTTCTATAATACCAAACCTTTGTCTTAGAGGATGAACTGTGTCCTTCTAAACTCCCATGCCCAAATCTCAAGTTCCTTGGGCGTGACTTAGTTTGGA